TTTTTATTGGCACGAGCTAACTTAAATATTTATTTGAGAAAAATAAACAACAAGAAAAAAGTGTTCGATTCGCGGAATAATTAACGCGCCATCGGCATTACGAGGGTTTTTTTCTAGCTACTGTTTTGTTGTTGGATTTGTGTTAATTTTTCAGTAGACATATGTATCTACATATACTATATATGAACTTATAAACAGGCAAGTGCAAATCTCGCATTTCTCATACGCTTTCCTGGAAAATCACGTATACCAGCAGCAGGCCGACATGTTGATTTACGTATAATTGTGTCCACATTCGCTTGAACTAAAAACTTGCACAAATGCAATTTACCAGATCCGCAGCAAAATATACAGAATTATTTATAGTAGTTACAATTGCAACGCAATAAATTAATAAAAATATAAAAATTAAAACATAATGTCGCAATAGGGGTATTTAAAGACGTTAAGATAAGGAGAGTTGCTTAAGATTGTTGGAGTTTTTGAATCATCAGCTTGGGACATATACGTTTATGATTAAACTAGTCAAACTAAAGCTTTAATTAAATGTGAGTAGTACATAGATTCTTAAAATGCGTGCTAAACAAAGCCAAACAATAGGAAATACATCTGTGTCTGGTTAAACTAGCTTCTAGCTTCTAGGCTATTCAGTTTTTAGCTAGCTTTGGCTTCATGTCGCCATAAACTGGGAACAGCATGAATATAAACGATGGCAATTAGAAACGCAATTGCATGTTTAAGTGCTTGATTCAACGTTTAAGTTCTAATTATTCGCGAAAATAACCTTGACGAACTGATGCTCTCTCTCTCATTTTGGCTTGGCTGGCAATTTGCTTAATTAGCAGGCTACACACACGCACACAACCACGACTGGCAGGCGTGGCAATTAAGCAAATAATTCGATTGTCTTTTTCACAGGGATGTCGTCTACAACATCAGCCTGCGGGGACTGAAAGAAAACAGCCGGCTCGTGTGGACCAGCCCGGGTGCCGATCGTGAGCTGTGCGTGCTTAAGGGCAAGCACGAACGAGACTGCCACAACTATTTGCGGGTTTACGCTCGACTGAGTGATGGCCAAATTATGCTCTGTGGCACCAATTCGTACAAACCGCGCTGTCGCCACTATGTCACCGTGGATCCGGCGGCGGGTGTTGCGCCTTCCAGTGACAACACCATGGGCTACGAAATGACGCGGGAAGTTGAGGCTCAGGGTCTCTGTCCGTATAGTCCTGCTCACAACAGCACCTATGCGTTTGCCGATGACAAGCTGTATAGCGCCACTGTCGCAGACTTTTCTGGTGGCGATCCCTTGATCTATCGAGAGACTCTGCGCACCGAGCAATACGATCTCAAGCAGCTTAATCAGCCGGACTTTGTGGGCGCCATCGAACGCAATGGCTACGTGCTTTTCTTTTTCCGCGAACTGTCCATGGAATTCATGAACTTTGGCAAAGCGGTCTACTCACGCGTGGGTCGTGTCTGCAAGAACGATCGGGGTGGTCCCTACAACCATGGTAAAAGCTGGACGTCGTTCCTTAAGGCGCGACTCAACTGCTCGGTGCCCGGCGAGTTTCCATTCTACTTTGATGAAATACGTAAGTAACAATATGCCGATATTCTCATCACCTGATAAATTAATATGGCATCTCTTTATCTTGGGCGCATACAGAGGCTATAAGTCCGATTGTGGAGAGCGGCTCCAATGCATTGGTTTATGCAGTGTTTACGACGCCGGTGAACGCCATACCCGGCTCGGCGGTGTGTGCCTATCGCTTAGACGACATACTGGCCGCCTTTGATGGGGATTTCAAATCGCAAAAGGATTCACAATCGCACTGGCTGCCCGTGGAACAAACGCAGGTGCCCAAGCCGCGTCCCGGCCAGTGTGTGGAAGACTCCCGCACGCTGACAAGCATTGCAGTAAATTTCATTAAAAATCATCCGCTGATGGAGAGCGCTGTGCCCGCTGTGCATGGCCGTCCTTTGCTGACCAAGGTTAATCTGCACCATCGGCTCACTGCCATCACAGTGGATCCGCAGGTGCGTGCATTAAATGGCAACCACTACGATGTCATCTACAGTGGCACCGATGACGGCAAAGTGACCAAGTTCATCAACATCCTGACAACGCATCAGAACAGCAGCACGGACCGCCTGCGCACAGTGGTCATCTCCGAAATGCAGGTGCTGCCGCTGGGCACGCCTGTGCGCGAATTGGTTATCTCTTCCAAGAAGAACACGCTTGTTGTGGTCAGCGATGGGCGATTGGTAACGGTGCCCCTACACCACTGTTCACTGATTGTCGACTGTCTTGGCTGCCTCAGCCTGCAGGACCCTAACTGTGCCTGGGATTTGCAGACGCACGAGTGCAAGAATCTTGCCGCCAGTCAGCACAAATTTGGCACTAAAACCTATATGCAAAGCCTAAACACGACCAAAAAGGCGGCTGCGGCTCTCTGCCCAAAAACTGCCGCAGATCCCGTTATTGTTACCATGGCCCCATCACAAATGGAGGAGGTCGAAAAGCTCCATTACGCCAGTGTGGGCAGTGCGCAAGCTGAGGTACAACCCAGCCAGGAACAACAGCCAACGGGCGGCGGAGCTGACTTTACGCTAAATGACTATATTGATGAGAATAAAATACCGCAGGCATCAGTGGATCCCGAGCAGGTTATGACCAATTTGCACGGTAAGTGGCGCACAAAATGACTCAAAGGAGTTCCACTAATGTCTCGCTTTGCAGATCCCCAAAAGTCGATAGCAGTTGTCAATGAGGTGCAAAAGGCGTCTGCCATTACGAACTATACAATAACTATTATTACAATTGCGTTCTTGATGACCTTCTTTGTGGGTGGCTATGTGGGCATCAAGATAAAGCAATGGTGCAATCAGAATCGATTAGATGCCAGTCATCACAATCACTTTGTCAAGCAAACGTAAGATCTAAATTTTTGGTTGCAAAGCATGCGCTGAGACTAAGTTTGATTTTATTCGTTCTCGCCCCACAGCCAATTCAAGCATCAGAACAGCGGCAAGGACATTAATTTATTAATCAACTCGAATCCGTACACGACGCCACAGAAAACAGCGAACCTGGATCTTGAAAAGGACCGTAGTCACGAATGCAAAAACTCCACAGAACATTTGGAAAAGGAGCTGCCCTGCAAAACGTCGACTATGACAAAAGTGAAACGCACTTATATATGAAGATGGAAACATGCATCAGTTTTTTTGATGGCCAGTTTACCACAAAATTAGTCGAATTTTCGTTGTTTATGTTGCTGTTAGTTGTAGTAAACCCCCCGCCCGACTTGACGTATCAGCAGTTTTTCTGACGCGTTTGAAACGTGTCTCGGCGCATACATAACTGTTGTGCTTATATTTAATGATTTTTTGTCAAGGTTTAGTTAAATTTATCGCTTAAACGCAGCGCACTGTGCTATGCTAGACAAAGGGCATTACGATAACGCTTGTATGCCTTTTGCTGCTACGCAGTATACGAGGCGGCACATCTATATGTTTATTTGATAGAATAATTTGTAAGTGCAAACATTAGAGCTTAGACATATGCATATCACATATAGAAAGCAGATTCGGGCTATACAAAAATTGGCTATGTTTTATTGAACAAAAGTTTTTGGTCATGCCCAGAACTGTCGAACCCACCCACAAATCAAATATTTTTCTCGAAATTCACGACGATTATTATTCTGTACAAGTATTTTGTTAGACTGAAAGTTTTTCTATACACATTTTAGTTTTCTATATGCATGCAACAATATGCTGTTTAATTATATATTTTGTGTTTTGTGGCTAAGAAAAGCAATATAAATTGTATCTAACATAAAGCTCAATAAGGAATTGAATATAAGAAATTGTATTTTTGTAACTTTATATTGTACGATTTAGGCTTAAGGAAACAACACGATTAACGTTTACTTCTGCGGTCAAACATAAATGAGGCTGTTTCGTAAGAACTGAGATCCCTGGACACACCAGCCCTTAAAAAGTAAATAACGCACAAATAATGATTGCACACGCCTTAAATAAAAAAAAAATATAAATTTATATATATATATATATAAAAGCCTCTAGGCTTAAAAGTAAATGTGAAGATACAAATTTAGGCTAAGCATTATAATAAATACATACTTGCATGTATTTTAAAGCAGAATCAGCATTTTATATGTTTATGTTTAAATTTTAAGATGTTGTCCGTCCGTAACATCAAATTTTTTATAAATAATAATAATAATATATTTTTATATGTAATTGTATCTAATATTTTAATGTCTAAGTACAACTTTAAACACAAAAACGAAAAGAAAAAAAAAAACAAAATAATTTTGAAATTCAAAAAAAATTAAATAACAAAATCTCTAGAATCAGGAAATGGCAGTGCTCGAGTAAATCAGAAAAAAACATCATCAGATCGAGCACATCCTGAAATTCTCATATTGTGATAGATTTTATTAAAATTTTAAATGATAAAAACGTATGCCTTTTAGGATGAAAAACAATGATATAAATTTGGAATAGAGTCGTCTTTACATGCAATTATTTACGATTTTATTTTTCAATTAGAAAAACAAACAAAAAACATAAAATATGTAAATTTTATAACCCACGTGTATTGTACTTGATATATTGTTGTAAAGGCGTTTAATGAGCTATGCTAAAATTTAATAAAGTCGTCATTTTTAATGTACATTTTTAAAGACTTGTCTTATTTTAGGAAATTGGGATTGATTTGTTTTTTTTTTTTGAGTGAGTTTAACCACCGAGCGAGCATATTGTATTATTGTATGACGAGTGGTTTAACTCTGTTAAATTTTGAATGATGTTAACGGCATGCCGTTAGCATTATGTTATTTGCAGCGACAAGTGCTGTTGTCATATTAGTGTTGTGTAAACATTCGTTTTTCGGTATTTTTAGCTGTGTATATTTATGCTGAAAGAGCCTGGTCACACTGCTGGTTGGTCTCGTTCATTTCCTGTTCGTTTCCTCTGTGAATAGATTGATTCTTTCTCTCAATCTACTAATACTTTGTACATCATCAGTTTATATTAAATTTTTCTAACTCCTTAACACTCTGCATTACATTATCTTTGCTGTAGTATCAGCATTTTTATATATTGTGCGGTACTTTTAAATCAAAAGTGGTAAGTACTATCAATAATTTGTATATAGTATATAAAGCCTGAAATTGATGATTGTTCTTTTTCTGAAGAGTCGAATGATAGTGCCCTTGCAAGAGGGTTACTAGAGTTCATATCTTGTAGAAAGAATAAGAACGGCCAACTGATTAATGCATTATAAACTAAACACATGAATACCTCTATTAAATGCACGCTAACGCTCCGTTTTCTTCTTGCAGCTGCCGCAAATTGTTGCACGCACGTGGTCGAAAGCCGGTTTCTGCAATGGAAGCCCCTCAGGTAAGGTTTAAGACCTCGGCATCTAGTTATGCTAGTAAAACGTTCTATGTGATGATAAGTTTATTCTTAACAAAATTCTGTTGATCTATAACTTAAAACTAAACCAAAAGGATTCTGATAATTTAAATTCAACAAAAAGTTGAGTTAATATTAGACGAAAACAACGAACCCCCTTTCCCTTGCACACACTAACGCCGTATTTTTCTGTTGCAGCTGCCGCAATTAGTTGCACACACGTGGTCGGAGGCCGGTTTATGCCATGGAAGACACTCAGGTAAGAATCGAGACTTAAGAATAGAATTTCACCGATACAAAAGTGTTTCTTATGATGATAAGTTCAATCTGAACAAAGTGCTGTTGATCAACAACTTAAAACTAAACCAAAAGGATTCTGATAAACATAATACAACAACATGCTTGAGTAGAAAAGTCACGAGGATAAACTAACCTCGTTTATTTTTGTGCAGTTGCAGGACTCGCGGGCAGGCCAAGGCTAAGGAATTCAATTTGATAAACTAAGTAATGGTAAGTTTTTTGTGCCTTGTTCGCTTTTTAATTTGACAATGATGAAAAGTAATTACCGTACGATATTCGTGATTAAAACTCTATGGCTGCAATTTTTGCAACTGATGCATATTTGTTTAAATTCAAATCCCAATAAAGAAAACACCGCATAACGAATTGCTTTATCTTTTCTAGAGCTTCACTGAGATCCGTTGAAATTGGCAGTTTTATAGGCGATCATGAGGTAAGTTATTGTCAACAACGTTTGCATTGTGTTTTCTTAAAATGATGAAAAGTAATTACCGTACGATATTCGTGATTAAAACCTCATGGCTGCAATTTTTGCAACTGAACCTTAAACGCAATGTAAAAATTCACAAACCATAACAACTTGTCTAATCTATTATTTGTTGCTTTCAGCCTGCTTTGCTGCAAATGAAACAAGATGTTCGCATTGATGAAGGAGGTAAATTTCATCGTCATATTATTTATAGATTCGCTTTATATACATTTAGATGATGAATACCTTTTATCTATTATAACTTTCGTTCTACTGAGTAGAAAATGCGGAGAAATATAACTGAAATAGACATTTGTAGTAATTTATTGAAGACAATTATCGACTTTCACCTAACTAAGAATTTTGTATATTTGTAGTTTCTTCAATGAGGCCTCAGTCCGTCGGACAAAAGGATTCTCGTTAGGTAAGCATTTAATTTAAAGTCGTACGATTTCTAATTCTCAACTTGATGATAAACTTACTCTGAATACTATGCTGACCAACCAAAGAAAATTAACCAAAAGGATACTGATCGAATTAACTCGATTAAACAATTGAACCGTTTTCGTCGACTCAACTAATCATTTTTTCCGTTTACAGTGTATCTATGACGGAAGGAAGTGTCGCGATGAAGGTTCTACTTCAAGTCTGCATCAAGGTAGGTTCATTTTGCCCTGCACCTTAGTTAATGTGTTGTTAGATTTATCATGATGTTTACTTCAGTATAGTTCATTAGAAACAAACATGTTACCAATTTTTGAAGCTGATATTTAACTATGTATATAATTTCGATTATCTTGACAAAACGTATAATTAATTAGTTTTCGTTGTCTCTTACAGTTGCCGGATATTCATTGTTGATCTTCGCTTTAATGGACGAATCCAAAGCTTTGAGGTATGTTTTAATTATGTATATTATGTATTATGAATTTTACCTGATGAACTATCCTAAATCAGGATCCCTCTACTGAGTAGAACCCATTAAAAACCATGCGGTCAATCTTTCCCCGACTGAATACAATCTTTGCCTAAAATTAAAGATTTATTATACATTACAAAAAAACTTACATAAATGTCTTCTTTACTTACAGCTTTGACTGCTTTCCTGTCGAGTTGTAGCAATCGGATTAAACCTTTGCAAGGTGTGTTTGTTTAAAAATTGCAGCTCAAATAAAAATTGTTCTGATGAACTATCCTAAATCAGGATCCCTCTACTGAGTAGAACCCATTAAAAACCATGCGGTCAATCTTTCCCCGACTGAGCAAAATGACTACAAACTAGTTTTAAATCAACTTAATGTAACAATTTTCAATAACTTGTGTCTTTACTCTTGCAGGTCACTTTCTGCTTCCAATTGTTGCTGTTTACGACATCCAGAGAAACTCCGCAGAGGTAAATTGCACCTAATTGCTCTCTAGTTAAATGCTTGAATATGATGATCCTCCCAATAGGGACCTCAGCTGAGTGAATAAAAACCATGCTGTATTAACTTTCTTCTTTCCCCAACTGAAAGCTCTGACTACTTAAACAATGCTTAAAACTATGATATGCAAAGGACTTATTTTATATTATTTTATTTTCAGAGATGCGCTGTGAACGGACCACGATTATAAAATTAATTTATATAGTTTAAAATTCTGCTGAATAAAAAGAATGAAACCAAATACACTTCTTAAACTATGTTTTTATTAAGCCAGCCTTTCACTTAAGTTCACCGCAGGCATAGATGATGATTTTTTGGGAAGGTGTGCCTGACTTGTTGCCGCATCGTTCCATCTTGCGCACAACGTCCGCGCCGCTAATCACATGCCCAAAGACCACGTGCTTGTTATCGAGCCAGTCGGTTCTGTGAGGAATAAACATGGGATCAGATATGCCTATCCATAAATGGTTGTGCAGTTGTTACTTTGTGGTGCATATGAAGAACTGTGAGCCATTTGTGTTGGGACCTGAATTCGCCATGGATAACGTGCCGAAGCTGTTGTGTTTTAGATTGAAGTTCTCGTCGTTAAACTTCTTGCCATAAATCGATTTGCCACCGGTGCCGTTGTGATTTGTGAAATCTCCGCCCTGGCACATCTAGAATAGAAGTGTTCAGATATGAGTGCGTTCCAGTATAATTGAAAGATTCACTCACAAATTCTGGAATAATGCGATGGAATATGCAGCCCTTGTAGCCGTAGCCCTGCTCGTGCGTGCACAGCTGGCGAAAGTTCTCTGCCGTCTTGGGCACCACATCGGCGCGCAACAGCATGACAATGCGTCCAGCATCATTGCCGCCAATGCGTATGTCGAAGAACACCTGGGGATTGCGCTTTTCCGACTTCTCAATAACCGCCGGCCCCGTTGACGGCGTCTCCACCTTGTCCTTATCTGCTTCTGTCTCACCCTCGGGTTCTAGTGTGGCGCCCGCATGCTTCTGCAGCCAGTCATCATCCGCCCAGACCGGCTTGAAGCTGTCCTCCTTGACGCGCACAGGTTTTGCTAAGTTGACACGTATCGTACGGCCGCATAGCTCTGAATCATTCTAAAAGCAAGAGCGGGCTTTAGTGTTGGACCTGGACAATTTTAGTGCTACGGCGGCTTACCATGTTGTCGATGGCAGAGGCGGCATCTTCATAGTTCTCGTACTCAATAAAGGCGAATCCCCGATGCTTTTGCGACTCGTAGTCGACCGGCATTTGAATATCCGCAATATCACCGAATGGTATAAACGCATTGTTCAGCAACCTTTCTGTGACCTCGTCGGCCAGGCCACCAACATAAACGGTTCGCTTGTCATTCGACATTATTCACATAAACGTTTATGTTTCAATTACTTTTGTAAATAAAATGCGCCTGCTGCTAAACAACATTGGTCGCTTGCTCTCGAGCGAGTTGGCAGCAACAGCTGCCGCGGTGCTGCCAGCTCGAACGAATTTGTAATTGGGTGGCAACGTTGCCAAAACGGAAGCGCGGGCTTTAACATAAGCCGTTATCTTGTTTAATTTAGATATGTGCTATATTATTATAATGCTCCCTCTGCATATTTTGACAGCTTTTAATTAACAATTTATGTGAAGAGAAGGACAAACTAATAAAAGTTTGGCATGCATTTGCCTTAAAGAAAGTAGTTTCTTTTTTGTTATTAAATAATTAAGATTTATTATTTACAACTAACTAAAAATGTTACGTAAGATAAGACTGACTGCTACTGGACATGCCCTCTGCTTCCACATATTTGATATTATTATAAGTTTGATTCGTATTCCTTATCACCGGCATTAGAAAGCCAACAAGCGTTTGACAATAGCCGGGCACGTACGCGTACGAGGCGTAGAGTATAAGGGAAAGACAACTGCCGATGAGTAGGTCTGTAAATATTGAAAACAATTACATTAACGTTAATATAGAAGCATTATTTTTGTATTAGGCCACCATTAGGCTACAGTTAGTCATTGCCTCTCTCCGGGCGAAGACTGACCGAAATAGATAAGATACCGTTGGGTGGTGCCACAGAGAGACGGCCAAATAATGGATGATAGACCCGGGCTAACGATTGGTAATCGCTGCTTCATGGTTAATGGCTGCCTTCTAGGCACTTGGCTACTTACGGCAAAACACTTTCTCCCATGGCTCGCAGATGGCAATCTGTGTGTTCAGCTCGTACAGTCTATACATCCATATCACATAGCGCCTGAATTTCGCATATTTCTCAGCTATTTTCGCATACATATCGTACCAGGTGGGCGGTACGAGTTTGGTGCACAGTCTATACGTACTGAAGGTGCGCAGTGAACTAAACTGAACCGAATTGAACCTGGCCAAATCAGGAAAAGAAACAAACCACAACCACGCCACAAAGTATACGTTATCATAAAAATTTTGTAAATAGAGTTAAATACTTACTTTCCCGTTTTCCGTACAGAGAGATAAAGAATTTGTTTTATTGATTAGCGTTGGCATTTGGGCATTATCTATGAAGACAGCAGTGCTTATCAGTCGAAGCCAACGTCACGTAACCCTTGACGTTATTTTGGATGCATTGATTCATAATCACAATCAGCCCACCAGTGGCACTATGGACAGCAGGAACACCCAAACGGATAGCACGTCGTTTACATAGGCGTTGATATGCACCGCCACACAGAACTCGACATCCGCGTTGTTGTTATAGTGTATGCAGGTGGTGCGAATGCGCTCCGATATGGCTGCCAGGTTGGTGTAGGCAAAGTTCATTGTAAACCCATAAAGCTGTGATTTAAACAAATGCTGTTATTCTCAACTGATATCACGATATCGATATTAAGAGGCCAACTTATAAGCAAACAAATGATATACAAGAATTACATGTGTGAATTTAAGAAACTTCTACAGGTGCAAGTCAAGGAAGTTGAGCAATTTTCATCATCAAAAAAATGTTCGTTTTACAGGATCTTAAATAGAAGCTTCAAGTCAGCCAATTGGGCAGAATATTTACTATAAGCATCTAATGAGAATAGTAGAAGTTACCAATGAGAAGCTACATTCAAAATTGCAATTCTCTAGCTTTTATAGTCTATGATATCGACCGAGCCGGATGTATACATATGCTTGAAGGGATTCAGGGTATCAAGCGAAACTCACCCGGCAGTTGGGATACTCGCGTTCCAGCTCCTCGCTGTAGGCGGGCTCATCGTAGCGACTGCCCGCGCTTGTACTTAGGTTCTCTAATTCGCTTAAGATTCGCAGCAGTTGCGGCTGAAAGGCACTACAAGGAGTTGGTTAACAGGTGATTGTCTGGGCTATCGCCCAAATGCTGTATCACCCACCGATTCCAGAATGTTTTGCGTGTGGTGCGCCAAGCGCTTATCTTCTTCATGATCTTGCGCTCAATGTGCTTTTGCAGCTGGCTTAGATCGTAACTGCGCTTGTAGACATAGTCCAGCTTGTGTATGCCACACTGCGGCGCCTCCTGCCGCTTGTTAAACAGAGGCAGCCAACAGTCGACATCCTGCACATTGAAATTTGTCATGCTCACGCGCTCCTCCGCCTGAATATTGATGTATATCTGTTCCAAAAACAAGCACAATTAGATAAAAAAAAAAAAAAATGAAACAAGTACATTAGACGGAAGGGCTGGACCAGGAGATATCCTGAGCTCAACTTTACAAATATTCTCACTTCTAACTGTGCTTGAAGCTCCTTCAATTGCATCAGTCTTTATATCTTTATGAAATAATCAAGGCATAAATTGTGTAATGTGCGTGAATATTTAACTATACTAACTATCTAATTACTAACTATACCATATGAATTCAGATAATCGTTTCTTGTCAAAACAATTGAAATGAGGCGACCGATAAGAACCCAACTTGTTTTACGACAATATATATTTAAGATTTTTAATCTTTTTTTTTAATATAGCTACGGGAGATGCTTCCTTCTCTCTATTTCACTTGATTTAGGTATGACACTAATATGTAGACCTATAATCTGTGTATAAATCTGTGTATACTACACGAGAGCCTATATACAAAATCTGGTATCTCTACCTCCTTAATGTACTGAAAGACATGCTCAAAACAACAGGATGTCTAAACAGATTCTTATTAGTTCGATGGAGAAGGGATTTGTTTTGATTTGAAGCAAACTCAATTTGTGCACACGATAGAAGAAGCTAAGTCAATAAGGCCTTGCTCTGTTTGGGACATACATTTGCCCAAAATCATATTTCATATTTCGCCCACCTTGTAGACATATACCTTAGCTATGTATTTGATACAGTAGTCCGATTTTGATAAGATTTGGTTTCTAGGTATAAAAGCTCGTGAGTGCAAAGGTTGATTAACGTATCTTAAAAAACAACAAATGCCAAAACTCTTCCAGTTCTTGCTCAAATGTTTCACCTAGTTTCACCTAATAAATGTTGACAATCGAGTTTTTGATACGAGTACTTAATCTTCGAACAGGCAGGAGATCTATCTATCGGCTACTTACGTTTTTTGCAGCCACAATGGAGTACACTCGCGTTAGGGGGCAAAAGATATCCTGCAGCTGGTAGCGTTTGCCTGTGGTGGGTGCCACGAGCAGCAGGTCGCCGCTTTCCGGCTGTCGATAGATGACAAATGTGCACTCGCCATAGGGACAGGCCAGTCCAAGTACCAGCCAGCATTCGAGGCCCAGCGACAGCATATAGTTGCAGAGCAACACGCCCAAATCCTTGGCGGAGCACCAGGTGCTGTCCAGCAGGGTCTGATTGTCTAGCCAAACACCTTGAAAGTTCTGGCAGGCATCCAGCTGACTGCGCACCGGGCTGAGCAACGAAACAAAACGACAAATACGCTCCAGCTGGGTCTCATTGGGCAATGGCACGGGCTCCAGCAGACGCGTCAGGCAGACCCGCTTGCCATGTGAGGTGCAGACGAGAGGCTCCACGTAGCGCTGCGGATGCGGCAGCAGCTGTTGCAGCTCCAGACGTCGCTCGCGCACAAATTGCTGCAGCTCGGGCAGCTCGGCGCATGCCAGGCCGCCTATTTGAAGCGGCGTCACCTGGCAGCCTGGTTCGATGCTCAGATAGAACCAGAGATGGACGCTTTCCTTGAACTCGGGATATTGCTCCACGGATATATTTGTCACAGACTCGATAAGCGGTCTTTTGTAGCCGACCAGCACCTTGGGCATGCTTAGCTCGATGCATCCTTCAAACTGAAATGGACAAGGGGCTGGTTAGTCGCGGCTGTCTATGCGGATGCCTTTTTCTTTGTGGCCACTCACCTTGCGGCTGGCTAGCAGACTGCTCATGGGCACACGATATTCGCCGAGCCAGTTACATTGCACCCGCTGGTAGATATCTGCCGCCTCGTCCGTGTACTGCTGCTCGACCATCTCGTCGAACAGGCTGATTTTCAGATCTTCATGCAGATCATTCGGCTGACCCGTGAGCTGTAGCTGCAGCTGCTCATTCCAGGTGGGATTCGATCCTTCTGCCGTGCGACTGCGACACAGCCTTTGGCCATAGCTCAATGTTATAAATGGACGCACGTTCGAGTACATAAGCGCTGCAAAAAAGATTAACAAAGGTTTACAATATATTTCGCACAGATCACTTTTATATTTGTTCCAATTGTTAGCCGGAAGTCGATAAGCGTCGATATCTAGCCACGATCTTCAAAGCATGATTCAACGAGCCAATTTGGTCAAAAATTAATACCTTCTCTTTAAAAATCGGGAACATATTATCGATCCCCAGACAAACAAATGGCAAAGATATGTATTTCTCAAGGTCAAAGTGGGTCTGTCATTGCATTGAGATTGAATCGCGAAGTCTGATTTAAGTTAACATTGTAAGCAGGGTGTTACGAGGTCAGCTGGACTCTTTAGACTAAAATACTTTTACTTTTTAGAAATCTAATCTTTTTTATGAAATTTATACGTAAAATATCTATTATATAAGAGCGCACTCAAATCGCCTAAAAAAGAATCAAGAGCTGCCTACGTGATACCGTGGGGTATGACCGTGTCCAAGATAACCTTTTCTTTGCGATATAAAATTAGCTTGGGAGTTAAGTGGGAGTTATTGCTTTTTAGTACTTAGACGTGGCATGGCAATGAAGGACGTCATATTTAAGTGGTCCGCTCTGCTGGTGTTGATGCAGCTTGGCCTGGCGGGCCCAGCAAGTGGCCAGAAGATTTTAGATCGCTGCAGCCTCGCGATAGAGCTGGATAGACTCAATGTGCCGCGCGATGAAATACCCAGATGGGTTACTATCGCATCCCTGTTAAGTGACTACAAAACAGACGCAATTAGTGCAAAAAATGGAGAAGGTTATCGCAATTACGGAATATTCCAAATCAGTGATGGCTGGTGGTGTAAATCGTACACGGGGGGACCCAAAAATATCTGCAAGGTTAACTGTGAAGATCTGCGTTCCGACGACATTAAAGCGTCCCTTGACTGCGCCAAAATTGTGAGAAAAGTTCATGGCTGGGATGCCTGGCATGTCGGGGATGGTTACCAAATAAGTGTCGATGATTGCTTCACATCGCAGACAAGCCCTGTTAATGTGGCTGCACCTGAAGCTAGAGCTGGAAGGGATGTGCAACCCACAGTTGCGCCCTGCAGAAAGCCCGAATTTCTTTAAGCATTCTATTATCTATTGCTCGGCAGGAGTTAATAAATTGAAATAGCAAACTGTATATATGCTTTCACTTTCATTGATCTATGGATTTTTGGCGATAAAATGTGTCTGCTACTCACTTTGTGTTACAAAGAGACTGGCGCTCAGATCGCTGCTTGTGCCTGTGCTGCTGCTGCGCCTGGCCTGTTGCTCCACGTTGAGGATGTGGCGACTGCGCACTGGAACACCTGTTGCACGCACCACATGCAGTGAGATGTTGAACTGCTGGACCACATCCGATGCACACGTTGGCTGCGGTTGCCATGTGGGCTCTCGTGGGAGCGCGGCTGGTTGTCCAAAGAGCAGGGAGCACAACGCACGCCAGAGCGCTGACCAGCCGGTGGACTGCTCCAGGCCATCGCCTAGCAGCTGGAGCAGCGGTAGCGGCGTTTGCAACAGCTTAGCCCTTTGCACGCACTGGCTGGTTATGGTCTCGTACAGCAGATGGAGAAACTTGCGGCCGCGATGTTTGTGCAGATCAATTGGATTCCAAACAGTGCCAGGATCCAGCACTTGGGCGACATTTGCATGCGGCTCAAGTTCCTCCAACTCCACAATTTCATGCTCCAGGGCGGGCACAAAGCTCAGCTGCTTTGTGTGAAAATTACGTTGCTGGTGTCGCGAGTGCAGCAGCTGGAAGCGTCTGTTCTGCAGAAGCTCCTCAACTCCGCACAGCTGCAGCTGTTGCTCGGCAAAGATTAGCGGGCCCGCATTAATGTGCCCTGCATCGCTGGGTGACCGGGGCGTGGCCCTCATCTCTGAAGCCGTGGCCGCAGACGGCAGCCTGCCTGCCCTCAACGTTTGACCAACCGTCTCCGGCAGCTTCTGTATGTCGTCCAGATCGCTGCTGATGGCGCCATCGGGACAATAATAGTCGATGTGCAGAAAGAGATCGCCAGCCAGCTTGGGACGCACTGCAGCCGAAGTTGCGGCCACTTGGAAAGCCAATTTCTGTTCCGTCTTGCCCCTTTCCGTCACCTTCAGCGGGGTGCTTATCAGAGCAAGTCTTCGACTGTGTGAAGTTATCGTAGATTTCTCATACAGCTGCAATCAAACATGGTAAAGAGTCAAAATAAAGATAGAGATAACCACTTATACCCTGTATAAAGGAAAATGTATAGAAAAGGGTATAATGGTTTCGTGAAAAGGTATGTAACTGGCTGAAGGAGACGGGCATTGCCAGAATAAACTATTTAGCAGCTTACCCAAATGTTGAGCTGCTCTGGATGCGAGCGATTGAGCAGAACGCCAAGACTCTCGTTCATGTCCACATGCAGATCCGGTTCCAGGCGATAGCTGCGCGTCTGGGCCACAAACTGGCCGTCCAAGTAGAGCTTTAAGTAGTAGTTGCGGTCCAGGTTCAACTGCTCGTTACTTGGCCTGGAATGGAGCGTTGACTCATCGGTTGGCAGCCGCAACAGATACACCCTTGGCTCCTCAGGATCCTGAAAAGCGCGTTCGTATTTCGTCTTCAAGCTCTCCATGATCTCAGCAAACTGCGGCTTACGTGGCGGCTTGGTGTGTGAAACTGAGGACTGCTCGCTGCTCCAGATGTGTCGCCGATGATAGTAGACCTCCAAATGCTCACGGTACACCTCGGCCAGATCAGCCTCAAAACGCTCCTTCCATGCTGAGCAGGAGGCATCCAAGTCAGCTGGCGGCACCAGCCGCAGGCTAAGCCTAAAGCGTGTGCACTGGAATTGTTGCTGCTTGCGCAACTCCTTCAGCTTGGCCCACTGTGTGAGCAGGCGTTGAAGCAACACGCGCTGCGCCGTGGACTCGGCGTAGTAGCGTACCCGCAGCTGTTGGGTCAATTGCAGCTGGCGTTGAATGTGCGCCGCCAGCTGCGATGATTGCTCCTGCGGCTGCTGATGGCTGCTGGAATCGAGCAGCCGAGCAGCGACATTCCGAGCTATTTGCAGCTCCTCGCGCAATTTCTTGCAAATCTTATTCTTCACATTGTGCATGTATAGGTCGTAGAGATCTTCAAGCTGTTGCGCCAGGCGATGCTCTTCCAGAAACTGCGGATGGGCGCTGAAGCGCAGCTGCTTGAGGCACAGTTTCAGGCAACGACTCGTGGGCAGTCCCTGGAACTGAGCGAACGGCACGGGCGCCAGAAAGACGCCTTTAAACTGTCTCGGACAATTGCTCCGATATAGCGTCGCATCGATGATAAAGCGGCACGAGTCTGAGTCCGTGAGCTGAGCTATTAGCCCGGCACTTAGCTTGCCGGCACTCCCGTTGACTTTGGCCTCCTCCAGATAGCGATTGAGCATACGAATCTGATAGCGCTTTAAGTGAGAGCCGCCATCGATGAACTGCAGCGGCAAATGTAGCCTGTCGCTGGGCGTATACAGGAAGCTGTCGTCATAGCGATGCAGTTGTCTGTGCAATTGGGGCGAGACGATTGGCGGCTCGGACAGCTCGATTTGTATAAAATTCGCAGCTAAATTGGATGGAGATGCGGCGTCATCGATTCGCTGTTTATTCCGATTCGAAATGGCGACAGACTCGTTAGCTTCCGAGTAATGGAAGAACTGCAGGCTCCTTGCTTCCGACTCCTGGGAATCTTGACGTCCGAAGACTTTTCCGCATTGGGACAGCAATATTTGCACTTCTCTCTCGGTTTTGCGATAAGAACGGGTCGTTTGCGTTTTGTGTTTCTTTTTGCTGCGCTTGCTTTTCACAGAATCGCTTTCTCGCTCCATATTTATTTGCTTCTCCCTGTTCTCTGATTAAATTTGATTAAAACACGCAACGCCTGTCACTTCTGAAAACAAAAGTTACCGTTTGTTTTGCTTGCACAGGGTGTTCCAGTTGCCATGACAGCCATCGGCAAAGTGCGCTGCGGTTATCGTCTATCGATATTTAAAATACGGTTACAAATCGATTCTTTTGAACTAATATTAAGCACAGCTGCCGAATGATAAACTCAACTTTTATTAAAATGAAGCAATTTTTTTGAAACAAACAGCAATTACTTTATTTTTAAATTGTATATGTTTAAATAAAAACCCAAATATTGCTTGATTAACTGTAATCTTTGTATTTAAGCAGTCATGTTCATTAAAATATATTCATTACGATCTTTATCCCTAATTTCAAAGAAAGATAAATAAAGAAGATTGAATTACTTTCAATTAAAAAGAAGATCCATATACAGTACCTCAATTTTCGACAGATCGCTCTTTTAGCAGCTAAATGAAAGCCTTAGAATTTTACAGAAACTGCAAGTAAATTGAAAAGTATATCATTTCATTTCCTTTAAATATTCCCAAGTTAAGTAGGCTTTAATTCCAATACAAAAAAAATATATATAAATATATTTTTTAGTTGCAGAAGTGTTGAATACAGATCGAAAAATATATTTCACTTAAAAATTTTGTTTTTTTAATTTATAGTAAACCAATTATTTGACAACGAAATCATCCAAATGTGTTTTTTTGGCTTCGTGACGCGTGTCCTGGTTATCGTTTTTGGCGTTATAGTGCCGGCTCGCCACACGCAGAATGCGCTTGGCGAGGAGGAGCTGAATGCGTGGGCCAAGTACTGGATAGTCTATGCGTGGCTTATATGCATTGAGCTGTTCGGAGACGCATTATTCAGTTGGCTGCCATTGTATGTGGAGGCGAAGCTGCTGGTCGTGCTTTGGGTGGTCATCGCCGCGCCCCAGTCCAGCGTCTGGGTCTTTGACGAGATTTTGGATCCGCTTCTGATACGCCACTTGCCACAGATTGATGAATTACTGCAGCGCAGCAAGCGGTATCTGCTGGGGGATGCCATCAGCCATTCATCGGAACTATGCTTTCGCAGTCTGGACACAATAAGCTCCATAGTATCGCAGATTTGGCATACGCCTAGCGCAACGCCAGATAACGATGCTCATTCTGTGCTGAGCACAGCCACGGAGGCCAACAATCCGCCCTTTCCCGTGAAAAACTTTGAGTAATTATTATAGAAATCTTCTTTTGATCCAACCACTGACGACGAAACGCTTGATCTGGCGTCATGCTCAAATTCTTTGGTGTTGAAGCAAACAGAGAATTATTCGAAGCTCTCGCTGTTGGGATAACCGATTCGTTTCTAGGATTGCACTGCAGACCGATAAGAATATATTTTTAAATTTTAGAATTCAACGAGGTATATAGGGTATTTGCATTCTCTGCCTGGGTGCTATGTAAAATATCTTATTTGAATTGAAATATGATTCTAATTGGATTGGAGAACAAGGAAAGACTGTAATCCCTGCGGAGGATTCAATACCTTTCACATGTGGCAGATGTAGGATATGATAACCTGTTATAAAAGGAATTCTTATTTCTATCGGGAATTTCTGTTATAGCAATATGATATACTGATCAAAATATGTAAATGTTCCAAAATAATTGAATCAATAAATCTGTTTTTGATAAAGGGTCAATTCTTTATACATCTCTATTTTCGACTGGATTTTTTGATCTTGACAAGCACTAAAGCCGAATCGATGGGTTTCAAGTCTACCAAGGCGCTTTATCAATAAATCTGTTCAAAATTCTTAACCGGCGACCTATTTCTAACTTTTCGATTATTCTACAACCTCAGGACTGATGTTTAGATAAATGTTAGAAAACAAATTTGTAAAATAAAAAGAATTAGGAGCAAAAATACTTTTGAATGGGAAAATAGATTCGAATGGCAACTGGCTTTTATTTCAGTTTGAGTTGTTGGCCCGCCCGCCCTCATTAAAAATTTAAATATACACGCCGTTTCGCTTTCCTTTTCTTTTTGCTGTTAACATACAAATACAATGCAAATTTACTTCTAATGGCTGACAATGTGGTCTCGGACATGTTGTTTGTTGGGTGTGCTCGATTCTATCCAGTTATAAAGTTGTTCGTGAGCTTGACTTTAGTTATAAAATTATGTGACGTTACTTTTGTGCTTAAGGATCAAATTTATATAGATATAGGTGTATGTATATGTGTGCATATGTATGTAACGCAAGCTATTTAATATGGTTACGCTTAGTTGCAATATTAATGACGCGATACGTGTTTGCAGAAGAATCCCGACAAGTGGAGGTTGCCGGGACGTTGTCACGTTGCGTCGCAAGTCTGAGCCACCAGCTTTAATTAATGTGAAAACAGGGGGAGGACGTGGGCGCAGTTTTGGGGGTCGTCTACTCTAGCAGGGTTATTTCTTCCTTGACTAAAAATTCAACAACTTCCTCATCGACTTCATCAGTTTCCAAATTATCCGTATCCACATCTGCAAAATAGACAGTAAAATCTTTAAAAGCAAGTTCACAGTTGGCTGTAATTAACTTACGCCCTCTGAGCATGACGCGACGGCTCTTCTGATCCTTCCACTCTGCAATGCGCTTGTTGCGGTACTCCATGAAAGTCTCACGCAGCTGCGAGCGCTTCTCGAGCAGCTCCTTGGAGGCACGGGTCAAGCGGAGGCGATCCTTCTGCTCAAATACAGGATAGTACTTCTTCAGGTTCTTCTTTATCTCCTTCTGCTTCTCTTCACTGAGAAGCGTCGGCGGTCGCGGGCGCCAGAGGAACTGAACGAAGTTCTTCAAAATGGTGCGCCTAATGATGCGACCCTGGAAGGTGTACATGTTGAAGCCCGTATCCTCTTTGACCTTCCAAGACGAGACGCCAGTAACGACATAGCGACCAGTTGGATCCCATTCTACCTCGGAGGCGCGGAAGTGATCCGGTGATGCGCTTATGATGTAATCGTTGGTTGTATCAACAAACTCAAAGGTGCCCATGGTAAGATTGGCCATCACTATGAACTGACCACGTGGCGACCAGAACAGATGAGTGCATGACTTCTTCTCCAGGCGTTTGACCAAGCTTGGCTTAACACCCTTGTTGACCTCGTAGAAGCTAACGTTCGAAGAATTGGGCTCGCCGTGTATAATGGAAAACTTGTTACCTATGGGCTCCCAGGCAAAAGCGAGGATTAGCTCGCGTATCTCCACCGAATCCACGGGTATTTCCTTTTCGCGCATGTGAAATATCTCAAAGTTGTAAAACATGCCCAGAAACTTGACATCCAGCTCCTTCTTGTCCTTCTTCAACTTAGAGTAGCGATCAACCTTGACGCATAGATAATCGCCAGATTTTTGCCAATGAAGCTTACAGTCGGCCACGTGGAAGAGGTTCTTGTTGCGTGTCTCCCGCTTTTTGGGAATCTCCATTAGCGTCACGCGTGCGGGTATCTGATTCTGTTCTTCCACCCAGTAGGCAATTACGTTGTCCGTAGGCGACCACGAGAAGCCGCGTATGCCCGGAATCTTGATAGATTTTAAATCCAGCAAATAAAACGATGGTGTCTCGTAAATGTGTATCGAGTTTTCGCCCATGCGTGCCACAAATTTGTCATCGTGCGACCAGCGGAACATTGACAACACTGACATCCCATCACCCACAAAGGAACGCTTCTCAGTGCCGGTACGTATGTCCCAAATGATGATCTTTTGGCCGGTGGGCGTCGGACCATACGTAACCAAGTAATTTTCGCAGGGCGAAAACTCAACGAATTGAGTTCCAGGGTGCGGAAACTTTTGAATCTTTTGGAAGCTGCTGCCTCCCCAAATGGCGACTCCAGGTTTGTGAAAGGTGACCACATATGTGCCCAACGGAGACCACTTGACAAAAGTGTCAGTAAAACGTTCACGCGTCTCTAGCTCATTAGGTTCTGGGAGAGTATTCTGCCAGAAGCCAACCTGCACGCAATTGGGCGCTGTCTCTGCCGCCACGCAGTACTGATCGTAGGCATCGGGATCGTTTATGAAATTGTACAGATCGCTCTGTACCTTGAAAGGTTGCACCGTTGGCGGCTCCCACTTCTCCGGTATATTTTCATACCTGTTAATCAATTGTAAGCATTCATTTTAGATAGTGTTTTTACACATAAGAATATATCTTCTTATCTGTTTAAAAATTTGCTAACCGACAACTTACTTTTGGAAGTCTGTAAACAAATTGACAGCAAAGGTGTAATTCTTGTCCAGACGATGGTTGTTCAGCTTCTTGACCGCATCCTCAGCCTGGCTTGCGGTCTTATACTCCATGAACGCATAGCCCTTTGTCTTGCCCTCTTCATCGACGGGATAGACAACGTTGACAATTTCACCGCATTGAGAAAACAGCTTGTTGATAACCGATTTTAGTTTCTCGAGGCGGCTCGGTTCCACTTTTGGCATGTTGTCGACCACAACGACACTCTCGACACCATCGGCCTCCGATGGGCGTTGCGCCAGCATGTCTCCAAGTAAATCTGCAATATTATGGGCATTATTGCATTTGTCATAAAATTAACGCTCAGATTGAGGTTATGTTTCTTTTTGCAATAGTCGGCGGTGGCTTGTAGCGCGTGTGCTGCGCTGGCAAGGCCCAAACTTGCCTTCATCGCTGATATTGTCCACAAAATTGGGAGGATCATCGAAGTTTGGCTCCTCAGTGTAATCGCTATCGTTTGCATCGGCTCCCGAATGCTCTTCACTTTTCTTTTTAGCCATTTTCAGCGATTTATTTGCGAATTATATACGGCAGCCAATTTCCCGCAGTCATCAAACACACACACGCACATAAAAAAGGAAATGTTAATGCTAGAGATGAGCGATATTTACTTATCGGCTACTTGTAACAAGAGTGTCAATCTACCGATACATTTTTACAGAGCTGTAAGAATATACACAGTAACAGCGAGAAAATAATAGTTACTTATCCAGAACACAATGGTAGTAGGCGGTAACTTCTGAGTAGAGTTGCCCACTTTTCATATTTTACATTTTACTAGAAAAACGTACGATCTAAAACTTCGTAATCCTGTTGGAAAATGCAACAAAACATAAGCTCTCAAGTCTTATTTACAACAATGTTTTTAGAGTATGTCCAAAATATTATTAAATCAAATTAATATGAAAAATGCAAACGATTTGGAAAAAAAATATATAATATTTTTTTTACCATTTTTACATAATAAAACTAAACTGAACAATCTCCATAAATTCGAGTTTAATTAATTAAATATATTTTATTAAAAACGGTGAATGTGTTAAGGCTTAACAGCAGTGACATCGTAAAAGTATTTATATATCGATAATACTAGCGCAGATGTAGTTTTAGAGTTTAATATTATAAGAATGTTTTTAGTCAAGATTAAATACGTTTGTCCATATATCTAAAATTCACTGCATACGCTCTGATCTTTTGCTCCAATTTTAAATCCAAAAATCTTTTCGATAGTTTTTTTATGACTTTCATTCTGTTAATAACAATTCTGCAAATGTTACTTTAGTTGTCGATGTTATGTTAAATAACAGCACGTTTGGAATTTCATTCTTTTTTTTCGACAAGAAGAAGAGGCAGTAGGTGTAAAATCTGCATAAAAGTAATAAAAAAGAATGAAACATTATGCATTTAAATTAAGTGAAAAGTTGATATAAATATCAACACATAAAAGCTTTTAAACCCAAACGCGAGTGAAAAATTTCCAAGCAAACGCAGTTGCCATCTGAGATCAGAATTGCTTTTGTGTCCAAAGAGACAAGTTGCAAAAAGTGCAAAGAATAGAAAAGATTGCCACAAATAAGTGGTATAATGTGTCTGCCATTGCAGAAACGCGATAAACGGTATAAAATGCGAAAAGCTGTTATCCAATAGAGAAAAATTCCGATACACCACGTCTCCTTCTCCGCTCCGCACGCATCCGCGCCCTCACCTGCCACCTCCTTCACGGTCGTTATGTCTGCGCTAAGTCAAAAATCCAACATATACTAACCTAAATTCGCAGTGCAAAAAAAAGTAATGAAATAAAATGAAACAGTAGTAAAGCACATGCCGTCGTAAACATTTACTGAGGCGAAAATTGCAGCAACAAAATATGTAGTTATTGCAAATAATGTGCTTGTATGTGAATATAATATAAGTATGTCACAAGCTGCAGGATAGGCAATAAAAAAAATATATATACATATATGTATGTATTTATATATACTATGTGTATACATGGAGAATCGCCCAAAAAATGTTCTACCTCACTTTCTGCGTGCGTGTGTGTGTGTGTGTGCTACCTTTTTTTGTATATGCGCAAGCGACGCTCTCGTAGCAAGCAAGTGAGAACCCAAGAGAGTGCTCCACACAAGCCAAGAGAGACCAAAGCGCCTGTAGCCTTGATAAAATATATGAATGAATTGTCGTTCGCAGCGCAAAGTGATTTATATATTTTCAGGCTTTGGTTAACAACAAGATCTAAGTTAAATGAAAGTGATATAATCCTATATGCGTTTTGAAATAAAAGTTATACAGTTAAATAGACACCAAAATTTTGTATACAACTGTTTTGTTGTTGTTTTAGCTGGGGCTGGTGCGCTCTCAATTTCGATACAGGCTCAACCGTGCGTGCGTGCGCTCTCTTGCTCATTTTGAGATGCCTGTTACATCTGTGTTGCTTGGAAAAATTCGGACATATATTTGCTCCATGAAGTTTTTCCACAGTGTTTGTCTACACGCCCACATAGTGTGTGCAAGAGTGTGTGTGTGTGTGTTGCGAGTGTATTGAAAAAGTAAAAGTCGCCCGTTCGTCGCCGTCTGCTGCTCTGTTGTTATTTCTAAAAGAACTTGTTTTCATAAAAAATCATTTTTTATTATTTATACATTTAATTAAATATAACGGTTTTGCTCTTCAGTCGTAGTTAAAATCGGGTGCAGTACTTAACGCGTTTTCAAACAGTTGCAAAGCAGAGGCGTCGTCTTTCATATTGTGCCAAAAGAAAGCCCACGAAACGAAAAGCAGTAAAAATAAAAACAACAAAGCAACGAAGCGCATCACCTACAACAACAACAACTCAGCTGAAACGACCAACAATAAAAACAATACTAGCTCTCCAGATATCTACAGTCAACTAAACTTCTAAGCCTCAAGCCAGCTTAACTGTAATTGTTACAGTTATTTTTTCTGTTGTTGTTCTCGCTTGTTTTTCGGAAGTTTGTGCAGCAGCAGGCTCTGAATGTCTTTATGCTTTAATCATGGTGTATTTTGCCACCAACAAGAACAACACCGACACTATACGCTGCTATATTAGAATCTTTCTGATTACAAACCATGACAGAAGGACATGAAAGGTAAGTGTACAATTTGACGTGAACCTACTGTAAATATACTTATTTATAATCTATTGTTTGTCTGTTGTGGAGCTTTAAGTCAAGCTTACAGCCTTGCCAGACTAATGCAAGGGGTGTCTTTGTATGCGTCCTAATTGTTCCCGCTCCCAATTTAATTTACACAATTGCTGCCAATTTAACAAGCACAAATGCAATTTAATTGAACTTAAATACTAACAAATATTTCTGAATGAAAGACGGCGCGTATCAAGCTGAAGAAACATTTGTTGGGTATGAATGAAATGTGACTCATTTGTCTGGTCAATCCAAGGCATGCATGCATATATACACACACATGTACATGCATAAAAACGGTACATACATATGTATGTCTTTGTATTGAGAACGCCGTGTCAATGTCTCCACATAGTCTGTCTGTCGCCACTTTTAATGAATGAAATGGAATGCCAGCAACTATCTTGTTTTTCTAATTGTTTTTCTTGCTGTTTAAAGCGTAGCGCCCCATTGGAAATGATGTCACTCGCCCTGCGCGTTTCCTTGCTTGTTTATGTGCCGCATATTGAAGCATTTACAACAAACAGACAGACACAAACACAGTCGAAGAAGCCACTGGCTAAAGCTAAAGCTATAGCTAAAGCACTCTAGCCATGCCATTTCAATGTACCAACGTCTGCGCAACAGCAACAACAATAACAATACACACACACATATATATATATATATATATATATATATATATATACACACATTCAATACCACAGCCAAGGTTCTTGTAGTTTCATTCATGGCTTGCTTTGGTTCCTCTACTTGCTATGAATTGCTGGTTGAAAGAAGAAAGCCGATAAATTTGATTTGCATTTTGCATTCAATTTCCATTCATTACTATAAAAACATTTACTTTTATGTGTATACGTATGAGTGGATAGTCTTGTCAACTAAATCAGTCGCTTTTTAAACACAATTCATGGGGACCAGTTCGTTCATATTTATGGCTTGTTGTTGCTGCAGTCTCCAGGCCTCTGCGACAAAAATATGTGTACATACATATAAAAAGGTTTAGAATTGTGGGTGTTAGCGCTTTTAAAGGCAGTAAAATACCTCAACATAAATGTTGCTTGATGTGCTTTAAAAGCTATCAAGATAGTTGCAACTGTCGCGCATAACATAACTTAATTTCATAAGTATGTTTTGTACTAACATACATACACATGCACTTTATATGCAGATCATAGACAAATGCTTGAACAATTGACAGCGACCAGCTCCCGTTGTTTTGTGCACACACTTGCACATACAGACACTCGAGCCCGATTCTCTGTGTCTCTCTCTTTCTCACGCATGCGCTCTGTTGGGAGTTTGTCAATTGAGGATTTTGTTTCTGACTTGGGACTTTTAATTTTTGCTTGGGGCAGGCTTTGTGTCATGTCTTAAGCGGAGTTGTTGCTGAATATTCGCACAAGTCGTCTGCATGTATGTGTGTGTGTGTGAGTGTGTGTAAGTGCGTGCGTGCGTGTGTTTTATAAATGCACATTTGCAACTTGCATAGTGGCAACTCCAGTACAACTTTTTATTGACGTTGCCACTAGGGTAACCAAAAGCTCTTTTCAAAATTCAAATTGCATGAATGCATCTAGGGCAGCCCTGGTAGTAGAAACTGTAAAGAAAATGCAATTCATTCATGGCCTGACCGCCGCATGGACATCCTTGGCCAGACGTGCTGACGTGTGCGTCCCACCTTGAGTTCGAACGATGCACATACATACACACATACATATAAATACGCCTTGTCGCGTTGCAAGCTGCTATCGCTGCCACTAGCTAGTCCTTGACACAGCTATGACGTCGTTTTTGTCTACTTTGGCAGACCCTGTGCATGTTCATTCTGTAAAATTTGCCAAATCTAGGACAAATGTGTGTATACACTCACACTCACACTCACACACATATACAAGCAAATAGAGTCAGAAGCGACGGGTTACCAACTCCTCCCCGAAAGCTTTTTTCATTGAGTAAGTTTACGCTTAAAACTCCATTTCAAACTTCTGCGCAGGTCGTGAGTTGCTTTGTTCGCTTGTTCGTCCGACTTGTTTTGGGCCTGTATTCACCTTACTCCCAGCTCATTTTGCGGTAGCTGCGTTTTTCAAGAATGAAACCCAAAATGAAAGTTTCACAGGTTCTTAATTCAGATATTTTTGCTACCCTTAATATGCCACATACGTGTATATGTGTACGTGCGGAAATAACACATCAATGAGCAAACGCTTCTGTGTGTGTGTGTGTGTGTGTGCATGCATGTACGTGTATGTTGAAATGAAGGACCCATAATTATTTTTAGTTTATTTTGGCTTTGTCATGAATAAAAGCGACAGGTGTGCAGTTGGAGTCGGCAAGGCCGCCTTGCTAGGGCTTCGTTGGTCGAAAATTGAATTAGCCAAATTAGCGACACTTTTAAGTTATCACGCTGGGGATATAGACGTGAGCTACTGCCACGGGCGGATGCAGTCACTCCGGAACAGCAGCAATGGCCACAGTATCTTACCGTAAATTAAGCTTAAAGCGCACGTTTAGCAGGTGCCTATCGATACAAATAATTTGATTACCTTTATGCCTATGCCTAAGAATTGACAACGATTTCTCAATTGTCCAAGTTTTAACTTTTCTTTAATTTATTGTATTTGGTGTTCATTGCAGCGACTTCTTAGTTACAGTACGCGCACAGGTAATGACCAGAGACGAAAGCACAGAAGGCTGGCTACCGTTGGCCGGGGGTGGTCTGGCAAATGTTTCCATACGCAAGCGAGCTAGATTATCCCCATTGGCATCGGGTCATGACTACATCATCTATGGGCAAAGAATCTCTGATCAAAGTGTAAGTTACTTATCATATGTAATTTAAGCTTGATTCTATTCTATTCTGTTTTCATTTGCAGGTTATCTTAAGCTGTGTCATCAATCGTGATCTGAAGTATTACAAAGTAATGCCCACATTTCATCATTGGCGCGCCGGCAAACAGCGCAACGGTTTAACTTTCCAAACGGCAGCCGATGCGCGTGCCTTTGACAAGGGCGTCCTTCGGGCCTATAATGAACTAATTGATGGTATGCAGTTTTCCGCATCTTTATGGCCCGAGCCTGCACATTCCCATTTAGCTGCATGTCGCTTAAATAACACTCTCAAAGATGTTTTCTATCCTTGCTTATATTTCAGTTTAGCATATACTAATCTAGTTTAAGTTTCCTTATCACACACCTTGGCTAAACGTCGGTTCTACTTTAGACGTTGCATTTAGAATTTTTGCCTTCATTAACTAATGCAAAATTAATGTTTTATGCTCTTTTTTAAAACTTGCTACAAAACAAAATTATCAAAACTTAAAACATTTATTGGAATTGTGCAATTTGTTTCAAAATTACAAAATTACAAAAACAACCATTAAACAAAATTCACATAATATATATTTTAAACGAAATTGGTAAGTGTTTAAGGAGGTTTCTTTTTAAAAAGTATCGTGTGTGCGCTGCTCTTTTTTTTTTTGTAACTTTAACTTGAATTTAGAATCAATTAATTATTACTTAACGTAGCGTGTTTTTTTCCGGTTGATTTGTTTTTAAACACAGTTCCTTTTTATAGTATAATTGACCTCACCGATTCTTTTCATTTGTCTATTATTGATCTAGCCATCTGTTCATCTGTGTAAGCTCGCAAATCTTCGACATTTTAAACAAGAGCTAATGGGACTGTGGTATGTTCTGAAGGTTGTTTAAAGTGTCGAGAACTGTCGAAATTATTCGGATGTTCCATTTAAAATTGCAGCGCACACCATAATTGTAGTATTATTCACATAGATCACACCCATGAAAATAATTAGTAAATTAAATTCGTTATCTACAATTGCTTAAACACACTCTCAATTGTACATGATACGCTGTTTTCTTTAAACTAATTGACAACGCTCTTTTAAAGCTTTACATTTAATTTGCTGTGTGCCTTGAAATAAATTTGATATATTGTTATGCTAAGCTATTTGATATAACTAACCATTTTTTGATATATTTCAACACACGTAGGACTGGCCAAATCGAATCCCACTATAATATGCCCGCCGTTGACCAAATACGATTCGGTTGGTGAAGATGATGTATTCATGGTGAGTTCGTAACAAAAAGTTTCTTGAAACGTTGCTAATTGTTGACAATGTACAGACCCTGGACTTACCTGTGGAAAGCGAAAGTTTACAAAAGATACATTCAAGCCCAGAAGGCAGCGAAAAAAGTCACAGTAATGCATTCAAATAATTTTCAAAGTTCGCAATTTCAATCGAAACTGACCGGTTTTATTCTTGCAGAAAGCGTCAGCGAGCGACATAAGGATAGCTACAGCAACAATTCCGATTCAGAGAAACTACCAGCGGCGACCATACACTACATATCGACGGATAAAACATCAACGGCTCCGGGCCCCGGCAGCGGCAACAATGCAGGCGGCTCAACTGATGGGCTGCCGCCGCCGCCTGCCGGTCAGATTGCACCCAGCGAAAATTACTCTTATGTAACGCTGACGGCTGTGCACCATGACTATAATTACCCTGTGGTGGAGCAGCCGGTGGGCGCACAGGTGTTGAATGCGCGCCGCGAGTCGATCAGTGCGGTAAAGAAGCGCAATGCTCTGGAGGCGGCGCAGGCGATGGCCGCCGCGCAAACGTCGGCGACATCCGCAGCCAACAAGCCGCTGCACAAACCCAATGTGTCGGATATACTCAAGAAGGAGACGCGCATGCGGTGCCGCTATTGTCACGAGCTTTACAGCGAAGAGTTTAATAGGCGTGGCGCCTGCGAGTATGCACCGGATCCGTTTCGCAGCGGCTACGAGTGCATCTCGGGCATGGGCTGTGCGCGCTGCATGATCTATCACTGCATGAGCGATGCGGAGGGTGAGACGGCGCAGCATCCGTGCGATTGTAGCGTTAGTGAGGCGGGCTGCACCAAGCGCTGGTTGGGCCTGGCGCTGCTGTCCCTGTTCGTTCCCTGCCTGTGGTGCTATCCACCGTTGCGTGCATGCCATTTGCTTGGCATACATTGCGGCGTGTGCGGTGGCCGCCATAAACCGAATGTCTGACATTTGGAGGCTAGATTGCAAGGACAGTACGACGACGACTACAGCACCAGGCCCAGAAACCAGCAGCATTTGCAGCCCGACGAGCAAAACTACAAGAGCCAGCTGCTGCGACTAAAACAGCGCCAGTCGCAGTCACTGTCGCAGCCGCAGAGGCATTTCTATAACTGGGAGCTATCACACAGTCTCGGTGCGCCTCAGCACCATCCGCCACAGCCGTTATATCTGATGCAGCCGCGCAGCAGCAAGGCCGCCCAAAACGACTATGGACGGCTGATGTTCTAAAAGTTTTTGGTTTTATTTGCCATTATTTTTTTAAGTTTCCAGTTTGTTTAAGTTTTGATCGTTTTGTAACTCCATTTGATTTGCCATAATTTTTTGTATATAGATATGAAGATCAAATAACGCACACACATTTGTGCACACATACATGCATACGCACACACACACGCACCAATTTATCATTTATAATTGTAATTTATGTGTAGAGCTTTCACTTAATTATACTTTTGTAAAAACCGGGCTATTTGTTTATATATATATATATTAAATTTACGTATCATATGCTTAATGAATAGTAATTCGTTTTAGTTCTTTAAGTTTTTGCTACTTAACTTTTGTTTACAATTTGAAATTGGAGAACAGTATTAAGCCAAGGCAAGGCACGAAAGTTATGCGAATATACATTTTTGTGCGTAATTCCAATTTGTTTATAGTTTTAACAAAGCACAAATTTGAAATCTGAAAGAAAGAACATTTTGCATAACATATAACTCAAAGCGCATTAACTCAAAGCGCAAATGTAACAACAAAATATTGTTTACAAAAAATATTATAAAACAAAAAGAAAAATTTCAAAACAGTATACCCCAAGTAAGAATTGCAAATTGTTTTTGAACCTTTCAAAGCGGGCAAAGTAAACTTGCAACAACGGCGTTTTCAATTGATCAATTGATCAAAAAAATTCATTTACCAGCCATAATTGTTTTAAACCTAATGTAATATTCATTTCGATTTAAAAAGAATGTTTTTGACTCTTCTTAGGGCTCATGAAGATTCAAAATATTTCTTTTGCAAAAGAAAATACAAACATATTGTTTCAATATTTTAAGTTTAAGCAGATAGTTGGAAAGCTAAAAGAAAAATAAAATTGTAACAATTAAAACGCAACCTTTGCACTTATGCGTTTGCGCCGCTTAAATCAACCTATAAATAAAAACAATTTGGAATTTTTCCATTACAAATGAATAATTTGGTTTACGAAAACCAATAAATATTAGCTCATTTGTTAATGGGGTTATAACAAAATACTTAAGTGTTTTCAAAAAAAAAAAAAATAAAATAAAATAAATAAATAAAAATTATATGCAGTTATATATATAAATGTTTAAAAACGTATTAAAGAATGCAAAAATTGAATACTTATGTGCAAAGAACCTAAGTATTTTTTGTGTATTAAAAATGAAATTAATAATAAAAAAAGCATTAATTTATTTCTTACTATAAATGCATATTTATTCAAAAATAAGCAAAGGTTGTGCAAAAAACACATTAAAAAAAAGCAACAAAATATATTAAAAAACAAAACCTTTAAGAACATCGGCAATTGTTACTAAAATGCAAATGCAGTATCTTAAACAAAAAAAATAAATGAACGAAAGTTGTTTCGATCAAGAAACCTACCACAAACAAACAAAAACTTTGAACAAAGAACAAACACTCAACAAAAAGTACAAAATGTTAAATATACATGTATAATTTTAAATTACTTTTTATTATTTAGTTAAAGCTACAATAATTTTAACATGTAAAATTATCCACAAGCATGCCAACATACAAAAAACATATAAAGTATATACTAAATGTATTTCAAATTTTAACTGTCCATAAACAAACGAAAATGTATGTTCAATGTAAGTAAAGGAAAATCGACAAACCTAGGATTCAGTAACAATAGCAAACATTTCGCTACATTATTTATTAACAAATTCTCACAAAAAATATAAAAAAAAAATATTCTAGAGATTAATAGTTAATGGCAGCAATTTGTTAAACACCAAAAAAGCATAAGAAATTTTCAATCAACCCTTTGTTTATATACAATACATAAAATGAAAATCACATAAATTTATGCATAAGAAACAGCATATAAAATATTGCAAAAGAAATTAAACAAAATAAATAATATATTTATTCATATAAATGTATTTAAAATGTGAAAAAGAAAAATACAAACCAATAAAACACAATTTAATAAACAATAACGAATCATATTCTTTTATATTATACATTTATATTTTTTCAGCGTCGCACTTGCTTTATCAAGTTTCATACACATAAAACAAAGCTTTTTTCATATTACGCTTCGCTTACAGTTCAGTCACATGCATCGGTGGTTCAGTGGTAGAATGCTCGCCTGCCACGCGGGCGGCCCGGGTTCGATTCCCGGCCGATGCAAACCACTTTTTTTTCCTTAAATTAAATTGTTAGTAACATTGTTATTAATCAATTAAATTGTGTGAGTATATATTTTTTTGGCTAACAACCAAAGCAAAACCTAGTCGGGTTGCTTTAAAATAAGAGTTAGCACAATTTAAGCCCTAGTCGTGTATATGAAAATATTTAAATTAAAAATTTAATCTTATATAATAATTTTGAAGGCATATAACAACAAGCCGAGGATTTAACCATCACTTGGGTTTTGAAAATACTTATATTATTATTTTAAATAAGGTTCGCGGGGCGAACTTTAGCATATAAAACATTCCTAAACGAACTTAGCCTATTTTTTTGTGTGCCTAAGCTTGGCGTTAATATTCAATCACAAATAAAAATATATATTTGAATATTTTATAGAATTTTTATAAGAAGTTTGATACAAATTATTCGGTACCATGGATGAGCTAATGAAAAAATACGAAGCCCTGGACGAGCACAAGAGAGACCCGGCCAACCGGGAGCTCACGTGCAGTGTGCACTTTGTCAAGTAAATAGCGGGGCACAGGAAAAGATCTGACTAGTATTTATCAAACTAATATTGAATTTGTAGCACAAAATTCAGTCCGGGAACCTCGTCCGAAGATGAGATCGGATCGGTAACATGCCTAGTCTCAAAAGCTGAAGATTTGGAGATTGAGCGTATTTTTAAGCGTCAATCTGCGGATTTGGCCACAAATCGATCGCTCTTTGAGTTCGGACACAATTTTGAGGATGTGCGTGATTGGACGCGCATCGAACAGCCTCTCAAAGTTTCCCTAAAAGCCGTCTTGCGCTACATGGTGGAAAACCATTTGAAGACCACCGTTCAAATAGAGATCAATAAAATGTATTTCAATTGCCATGTCATTGTGCTGCAGGCCTACTCCAAGTTCTTCATGGAGCTCGAGCCGATACCGCTTGTTGTGACCCTTCCGGAGGAGAAGGTCTCGCAAAAGGCCTTTATGCTCATCTACAAATGGATGCTCAGCGATGAACCCACCCTGGAGCGCAACAGCATTGTCGCCGTATTTGTGGCCGCAACTTATTTGAGAATCAGAGCCTTGCTGTTGGCCTGCTGGACGTATTTTGATGATATCAACTGTTTTAATGAGGCCAACGCCTGCATAATGTATGTTGAATCGAGAAACAATCCGGCATTGGACATTGTTCGCAATTTGATGCTGACACGCATACAAAAGTTTCTTCTCACATTTGTGGCCACACGAGATTTTTTGGAGGTGCCGCTGAAGCATCTTGTTTATCTTCTCAGTTCGGATGAAATCTGTGTGAACACAGAAGTGGAGGTCTGTAATTTAATCGATTTAGTATTATTCTGTTCATATTATTAACATATCTAACCAAGCAGATACTCTTTATTGCTGTGCGCTGGCTAGGACACGATTGGCAGAGCCGAAAATCAAGTGTGCCCAGCTTGATTGGTTGCATACGGTTCCATTCGATGCCGCTGTGGTATTTGCTGTGCGTGCGACGTGTGGAGACGCATAAGCTGGTCAGGGAGATACTCAGTTTGCCCAATGTTGATGCTATAATCAATGAGGCCATTTCAAAGATAACTTCCAAAATGTACGAGCAAAAAATTGAGGGAATTTTGGACCATGGCAATGTTATAAAGAATTTACAATCCCGTCGTTGGATAGTGGATGATGCGTGTCCCTATTATCATCACATTGGTTGTCCACATACGCGCGATATAAATTTCAGACAGTTTGAGTCTTATTTAACTGCGTTGCAGCAACAGCCACGTGATTATTGGTCCAATGTAGATCTGCTCGATTTGAATAATCCAAAAAAGTGTGGCTGCATGCAATAACGGCCGCAGTCCAATCAGTACACCAGGAAATAGAAAATTGCCATTCACAATGCAGCGGTGCAGTTTTCTAAGAAATCTGGCAACACTCACAGCTGTTTTGGTGCCAATTTGTTCTTGTGGCTTTTTGTTTACGTTTGTTGTGAAAATAAAATGGAAAAACTTGAAGCTCTCAAAATTTCATCAATGCGTCCGCGCAGCAATATACTCGATCGACCGCTGTCCAAGGGCAAATCCGAGGTTTCACAAAGCATTGTGGCTCTGCTCTTCAGCGAGATCGTTCAATACTCTCAGAGCCGTGTTTTCACAGTTCCCGAATTGCAGACAAGGTATTGTATATTTTGCTTCCGACTAACATAGAGTAGAAATAATGCCGCCTGGTTTAGATTACACGATTTGGGTCAGGATGTGGGCACACGTATCATTGATCTGTACTTTGTGCGCGAGCGCAGCTCCAAGCGTGAGACGAAGCTAACGCAAATGCTGCTCTTTGTGAAGACAACGGTCTGGAAGAATCTGTTTGGCAAGGAAGCGGAGAAGCTAGAGCACGCCAACGATGATGAGCGCACCTACTACATCATTGAAAAGGAGCCACTGGTCAACACATTCATAAGTGTGCCCAAGGACAAGAGCTCCCTGAACTGTGCCAACTTCACGGCTGGCATCGTAGAGGCAGTATTAACCCACTGCGGATTCGTAAGTGTCTTTATTGCAGCTTATTGCTGAGGTGTCCAATACATGCTTACGACATTTACAGCCCTGCAAGGTGACAGCGCACTGGCACAAGGGCACCACGTATATGGTCAAGTTTGAGGACTTTGTCATAGCGCGCGACAAGCAGATGGAGGAGAAATAGAAATATACCTAAATTAACTAATATAACAAACGAAAAATACACAATTCTAATTGTATGTTAACAGTTTTGTATAATTTCGCTAAATGGGCACTTAAACGAACTTGAACTGGCGATCCTTGTAGGCAACCTGGCCGGTGCGGTATTTCTTCTCGCGGCCATCGCGTTCGGCCTTTAGGGCCCAGGCGTAGACAGCGATGGGCAGCACGACGGCGAAGAGACCCACGCGGAAGGAGTGTCCTGTGGGGCGGAAATGCTCATAGTTTGACACACGCATGGCCTGGAAGCGCGCTAGACCAGCATCAAACTGCAATATAGAGTGATTAATAATACTATATGTGTTATTATTTGGCCAGTGATGACATAACCAGCAATTGTACGTACCACAGTGCCGCCCTCTCCGGTGGCATGGCGAAAGGGATTCGAGCTCTGCTTTAAGTATTCGTTGCGGAGCTTAAGTGTTTGCTCGTGCTTGCGGCAAATGAATGCCTCCTCTTCTTTCGTTAAAACCATTTTAATTTGCTGCAAAACTCAACTCGGCGACAAGAGCAGAATCTAACAGCTGAGCCTAAACAGTACGAAGCAGAGTATTTTGACAGTCGCAGCGAAACGCACACACAAGTCAGTTGGTTGGCAACTCTAACCAAAAGCGCTTAAATAATTTACAATTGGCAATGCTGTTCATTAATCGTTCAAATTTTTACCTGTGCACCGGGCGGCCGCAGGACTAAAAGTTGCAATTTTCATTTAGGAAATTGTTGTTTCGGTGAGTAAAATCACAAATACCGTGTTAATTAGGAGTAAACTTTAGCTTAAGTACTTTTATTTACAAACATTTTTGCTTTGATTCAACATATTTACTATAAAGTCTGTTGCTTCGTTGCTCCACCCTAACAACACCGTTATACGCACGCTCAGGTCCTACTACTCTCGCACACGTGCGCTAGCCATTCGTATTTGCCAAGCTCTCACTCTCGCTCGTTCCCAGTTCAAAAGGGCACCCACTGCGCATGTCCTGCAAAGTGTTATGCGCAGATCTCGTGTCAATGTCCTGTTACACTGACATTTCATCTAATTTGCCCACTCATGCCAGCTACGCTTTGCATGCTCTTCTAACGCCTATGCGACTACGCTTATTCGATTTTTGAATACAAAATATATAAGGTATTTATAATGTTAACTAGGTTTTTTTCTAATTATCTTTGGTTACAAATCAATACCCTAAGTCGCTAAAAAAAATATGACCACTGCGCAAGACAAACTTCGTCCTCGTCGTTTCACAATATGTTACTGCATTCGAGTGAAAGAGAAGGCAACAGCAAGAGAGAGTGGGAGAGAGAGAGTGGAAAAGCAAGTGAGCTACCGCGCATGTTCTACGTAGTTGGGCGTTTATGTGGCTGGTGGTGCACTTGGCTTAGCTATGTTCGTTTTGGGGTTGGGTAGGGCTGGCTGCCTGGCTGGCTGGCTAGTGGGTAGTAGTTGGGTAGGTGAGCTGCCGCGGCACGCTTACGCTTCGCGTTAGGGGTTGTTGTTGCCGTGGAGTTGCGCGGTAGTCGCTTTCGTTGCGTTCGCTTCACTTGCCGACTGGCAGACCTAGCGCAAAGTTCTCTGTTATTGTTGTTGTTGTTTTTGTCGCAGGATTGATTTGAGGCACCTCAAATGGTTTAATTGCAAACGCAACGTGCTCGTTTATTGATTTTTGCCCCGACGCTGCATACAAAAACTATAGATATATTGAGGTAAGTCCTCGTTAAGTAATTGCCATAGCTAAGCAACAGAATTTAACATTTAGTTTGCAGGCCCATACGATGAGCCTAAAGTCCAGTGCACGGATAAAGAAGCGACGCTCAGCAGAGGCTGCAGCGGCGACCACAGCACCATCCTCCGGCTCCTTTGCGGCCATCAGCAGCCCGCGGGTTGCAGCCACAAGCAATAACACTCACAACAGCAACAGCAATAGCAACAGCAACAGCAATGCCGGCGGCAGCAGCAGCATTCCAAATGCAAGCCAGACTCCTCTCAGTAAGAAGCACAATTTCGTGGGTCGCAATCCCAATTTTGATACGGACGAGACGAAGCTGCTCATTCAGCTGTGGGGCGATCCGAAGCTGCAGCGCACCCTGATAACCACGCACAAGAAGCATGCGGTCATATGCCAACTGGCGGCCAAGATGCAGGAGTATGGCTATCATCGCTCACCGGAGGAGATCACGACGCGCATCAAGAATCTGAAGTGCTTCTATAATCGACTCAAGAAGGACAAGGAGTGCGGCCTGGCGGGCGAGACGGAACCCAGCTGGAAACATTTTGCCGAAATGGATGCCATTATGACGCGTCCCATATTCAGTGTGCGTCCCAACGAGGTTCCGGCGCCTTCGCTCAAATACCAACTGGAACAGGCATTGGAGGAGCACGCCGAGCGGCGCAAGCGTCGCCAGGAAAATGGCGAGGAGTTGTCCGACAGCGACAACGAGGAGGATGATATGCTATTGTCGTCTCTAGTGCCCAATGCCGCCAACGGCAAGTCCAAGCCGGAAGAGGCTGGCGAAAACGAAGCCGACGTGCAAATGGAAGTGGACACGAGTGAGGAGACTTTTGCCCCGCTCAAAGGCGATAAAAGCAGCACAGGCAAGCGGCGCAAGCTGTCTTCCGAGCCAGATCTAAATATTGACGAGGCACCAGCAACAGGGCCACGCATAAAGACTGAGCCAACCAACCAGCCGGAGACAGTGGCTGAGTCAAGCACAGCAACAGTTCCTGCAGCTATTCCTGCAGCAGCGGCTGCCGCCGAGCCCGAAGAGGACGATGACTGCATGCTGTTGCCGCTGCCGAAAGAGGAGCCCATCGATGTAGATGCCGTTGACGAGGCCGGGGCCGACTCGCCAAAAAGTGCCAGCACGGGCACCGGAGTCCCCGGAGCGCCCGTCCGCTCTGTGATGCCAACACTGACAGATATGTTACAGCTGCCCAAGGCTGCCAATCTGCTGCCCTATAGCGGCGCCAATGTCATCATACCGGCCAATAGCATCAGCACCAGCACCAGCGTAGCCCAGCTCAGCAGCACAGTATCCACCAGCAGCAGTACGGCCAGTGGCAAGCTGACACCAGGCAAGATCTCCTTGGTGCCCACGAATTTCCTGATGCAGCCCAAACAGGCGAGCAATGCGACAGCCAGTAAAGCGGTCGGCACAGCGGCTGGAGCTCAGCTGCAGCTGCTGCAGAGCGCCATCAACCAGGGTGCACGCTTGATGATCAGCGGCGCTGGCCCGGCACCCGTACAGACAGCAGCCAACACTGGTCTAGTCACGGGACCGGGCGGCGTCAAGTTTGTGCTGGTTAATGCGGAGCAGGCAGCGGCTGCCAAAGCAGTGGCAGCGGTCGGTAAACCGAACGCTGCGTCGGTTGCGACTGCATCGTTGCCACAGCAGCAACAGCAGAAGCTGCTCCAGCAGCCAGAGTATATTCCACAGCAACAACAGCAACAACAACAGCAGCAGCAACAACAACAGCAGCAGCAACAGCAGCAACAACAGCAGCAAACTCAGCAGCTGGAGAAGAAGGAGGAGAAACGCCGCGCACAGGAGAAGGCGCGTGAGGAGCAGCAGTCGAAGCGACACATGACAAGTGAGTCAGTTGGTAATCCTTAAAGTCAGCATTTGTTTTTCATGTTGAGCTCTCTCTGCATCTAGCTATGCGTATTATGTTGCGCCAGCTGCTCAACGCCCAAAACGAGGCCAATGAGATTCAACACAATCGCCTATCGCTGGAGCGGGAGCGCCTTGACTGGGAGAAGTCCGTAGGCGAACGTTTGCTAACACTGTTGCCGACATTGCTGCAGCCAGCTGCAACAGCTATGGCAGCTGCCAGTGCCGTTCAGCCAGGAACGCCGCATCAGTCGCCGCAGTTCATAGTCTCGGGCTCGGCGGCTGGCTCCGCGGGGCAGCGCTTGCAGCCACCCAAGCTGCTCTTTACCACAGCTCTGCCCATGGCCAATGGCACGGTGTCCATGCCGCATATACTCACGCCCAGCAACGCGTTGGGCACCTCGCTGCCCAAGGTCATTGCGGCGCCTGCTTCTTCGTCGTCGACCACTGGGACAGCGGGGACTATCGCGCCGAAGCCGGTGGAAATTTGCACACAAATCAATGATGTTCAGCTTGTCACTCCCAAGCTGGAGAAGGACGGCTAAAGCTGAACGATTGGATATTAATCAAGTACCAAAGATAATACTCGAATAAACTATGCAATTCAAATGTTTATTGCTATACAAATATCAGTTTATATTGTGACCAATTGCTGTATTGCGCTTTTGAAGTATTTAAGCTAAGCCTTTAAGCAGAAAAGCACTGAAAAACTCGAGGATGTTGTCCAACGTTGTCCTTTGCTTATGCCTACATTGTGCTCACGTAGCGTTATGTTCCGGGTAAATGCTTACCATATGTTGGGTCCTATTCCAGTTATCCTAGTGAATGTTGACGCGTTCCATATCACGGATTTCCATAATATCCGTTTTTAGCCTTTGCTTCACAATTTCACGCCAAATGGCCTCGCGGTCTCGATTGTCGGTCACGCCCATTCGTTGGAGCGAGGAATCTGTAATGCGGAGCAGGGCTCGACCCGTAATGTCGTGCTGAAAGACAGAAAGAACAGTTAACAAGTGTTTAACAGTAGGCCAAGTGCTTAAATGTTCAAAATTATAAAGAGTTGACGTTGGCTTTGATAAATTGCTAGTTGTTCCTGTTGAACTACAAGCTGAGAACAACAGGCGAATATGGCACAAGTGCTTCGGGAATACAACAAAAAGGACCAGGAACCGCACTGGTGAGTCTCTGTCTGTGTGGTTGGAACTTACAACTCGAAATAGCTCCACATACGATTTGTACTCGCCACAATGCCGAAGGTACCATTTCTGTACGTCATCCACGGTCCACTGGTAAACAGCTTTGGGTCGCGTTGTTTTGGCTCGCGCCTTGTTTTGTGTTGAGTTGGCCATTTCCTCACCCATTGCGTTTGCTTGTAAAATTGGTGGCCAATACCTGTTGACCCAGCGAATCCTTTCGCTTCCTACCCACGACAGGCGGCAATCCAACTTCTACACTTTTCCATTTTCGGGCCCTTAAGTGTGCTCGATAGATATCGATAGTATTTAATCGGATCTAGCTGACTACAAAAATATCAGCAGTTGCAATTGTTTAAGCGTTAAAGGAATTTAATAATATTGATATTTTTATCAATTATATTAAAAACTGGTATTTTGTTCCCTGTAAAATAGTGTGGAGCAGTACCAGTTCATATATCGTTTAACATGTGCAGCGTTGCATCGAGCATCGTTCGATAGGCATCATCACGTGGCTATCGGCAGCTGCACATCTCGAATCGTGACTAGCGCTTAATAACAACGACAACTGCAATCAGCATACTACTAAAGTTGTGAAAAAACATACAAATACGCATTACATACAATTAAGAGCAAGTGCAAACTCACAAAGAAACTTGCATCTGGATAGTGCTCTAGATAATACACGCTTTTTTATTCGATTTGCCAACGTTTGCTCTCAAAAAAACTCGTAGCCACTTTCATCTTTCAATTGTCGCCGCAGCAGCAGCAAAATGGCCGGAGCTACACTATTCGAACGTGCCCAGGCGCTGTCCAGTGTGAATCGCGAAGAGGGAATTTCCCTGCTAAATAAAATAGTGCGCGAACAAGAAGTGGCTGAAAACGATGAGGAACTCATACGCATTAAGGAGCAGGGCATAATGCAGCTGGGTGAGCTCTACAAACAAGGGGGCAAGGCCAAAGAACTGGCCGATTTGATCAAGGTGACTCGTCCGTTTTTGAGCTTGATCAGCAAGGCAAAGGCCGCGAAGCTGGTGCGTTCGCTGGTCGACATGTTCCTCGATATGGATGCGGGCACTGGCATTGAGGTACGTAGCCCCATTAGATACAGCCATATGATGGCTTATATTATGTTCTTTGGCAGGTTCAACTTTGCAAAGACTGTATAGAGTGGGCAAAGCAGGAGAAGCGCACATTCTTGCGTCAATCTCTGGAGGCGCGCCTGATTGCACTCTACTTTGATACGGCTCTGTATACAGAGGCGCTTGCCCTGGGCTCGCAGTTGTTGCGCGAGCTCAAAAAACTGGATGACAAAAATCTGCTGGTGGAGGTGCAACTGTTGGAGAGCAAAACCTATCATGCACTGAGCAACTTACCCAAGGCCCGTGCCGCCCTAACTTCAGCGCGTACCACGGCTAATGCCATCTACTGTCCCCCGAAAGTGCAGGGCGCCCTCGATCTCCAGTCGGGTATTCTGCATGCAGCCGACGAGCGAGATTTTAAAACAGCGTTCTCGTATTTCTATGAAGCCTTTGAGGGTTTCGATAGCGTTGACAGTGTCAAGGCCCTCACTTCTCTGAAGTACATGTTGCTGTGTAAGATTATGCTTGGCCAGTCGGACGATGTCAATCAAATAGTTAGCGGCAAGTTGGTAAGCAATGATAGTATAAATCATCTTAGACTTTGACAAACTTGGCGTTGTTGTTTTTGTCAGGCCATAACCTATTCCGGCCGTGATGTTGACGCTATGAAAGCTGTAGCGGAGGCCTCACATAAACGCTCGCTGGCCGACTTTCAGCAGGCACTAAAGGACTATAAGAAGGAGCTGGCAGAAGATGTCATTGTGCAGGCACATCTTGGTACACTCTACGACACCATGCTGGAGCAGAATCTATGCCGCATTATCGAGCCATATTCGCGTGTGCAGGTACGCAAATGTTCTCACATAACTAAAAATCCATGATTTCATATTCACTTTGCAGGTTTCCCATGTGGCGGAGAGCATTCATCTGCCCATGCCACAGGTGGAAAAGAAACTATCACAAATGATATTGGATAAAAAATTTAGCGGCATCTTAGATCAGGGCGAGGGTGTGCTCATTGTGTTCGAGGAGACGCCTGTGGACAAGACGTATGAGCGCGTGCTAGAGACTATCCAGAGCATGGGCAAGGTGGTGGATACATTGTATCAAAAGGCCAAGAAGCTGTCATAAGTCCTCACAGTGAACACGCATGTCCCGCACACATCTACGCATCATCTGAATGAATATCTGCGAAATTAGAAGACAATTTTTGGTTTTTCCCTTGTACTCTGAAAAATTCCCTCACTGATCCCCAAAAATCATAAACTTTGTTATAACCACATCTTTGTATGTTTCGGTACAACTTACAGCTGAAAAATAAACACTTATTGGTGGGAATAGCAGTAATAATAATGTGTAAACCATAATAAAATATTTCTAAGCGTAATTATTCAATAGAAAAAGAGTGCGCAATATGATAAGTAAAATTATTCAATTAACCAATAATAACATGAATTAAAATCTATCCAATCTCAATTATTCTCCCTAAAACAGGGGGACTTTTAAAATTCTAGATTATTAAAACTATTTTTCGTTTTTTATTAACCTTCTGTGAATTTTTGTTGGGAACTACTGCTCTCATTTTAAATCTCTGATTATCAGCCCAATAAAATTCTAAAGTAATAGGCTGATTTTTTTAAGATACAATTTATTTTGGTTTTTGGTTTATTTTTAAAGAAATAAATAATTTAAATATTCGTAAATGGCAAATTGACATAATTAACCGAAGATATGGGTTAGACCCAGTCCACCGCCAAAGTTGGACTGTCCGCTCATTGGTCCGCTAGTCCACTTGGAGGCAGTACCGGTCAGATCTAGGCGAGTATTACGATCCTGGGATGACCACAAGTTGGCCCGTCCATCCAGACCCAATTGCTTGCCAATGCCGGGAATGTTGCTGTGCGTCAAGCTGGCGCCGTGCCCATTGATGTGCGAGTAATCCAGGCCAGCGCCATTCCGCTGGAACTCAAAGCCGTTGGCAAGCTTGTTCTGAGAGGCAAACACCTTGGCGTCCAGGTTGTGCTTGCCATTGTTGAAAAGATTGGCATGTGCCGACTGCTGGAAGCTGTCCTGTACGCCAGGGGTGTGGGTCTTGGTCAGGTCAAATCCATGTCCATGACTGAGGGAAAGCAAATCCATGAGTTAACATTTCACTAGGAAAGAGGGTTCAATTAACTTACTTGTTGTAGGCGACCGATCCTCCAGTGGTAATGGGTCCTTTCTGTGTGTTGCCTGCGGCGAACACTTGTCCAATGACATTGTGATCGGGAGTGCCAATGCCTTTGCTGAGCGCCAGGCGAGCGTCAGAGCCACCTGCCGGATTAGATGTCAGTGAACCGCCCAGGACCTGCCGGCGCACTCGAATGGGACGGGGTTGCGGTGTTGGTCTTGGATAATAAGGTAGCGTCTGGAAGCGCTGAGGCATGGCCTCGACGCAGGCACCAATGGCCACAACTGCCAGGATGAAAATGCTGCTGCTTTGCATGTTGCTTTGAGGGATTATTCCTGATTACTGATGATGGCTGTGGGCACAGCTGGCGCTTATATACAGAGGCCGCTGTTCTGGGGAAACACTATGCGAGGCTAGCTGATTGTGATTCACCCGCGCTGACATCGCTCTCTGTTGTCTTGTCTGTCTTATCAGCAGACTCCCAAGTAAATCCCCGCGCGTGGCTTGAGCCAAACAAATTGATTACCTGCCTCCACTTGTTGCGCTCACTGTGCGGTGGTTTTTTAAGCTTTAAGCTGCAGCTGGACGGAAGGAGACTTGATTGGACGTCAATAAGGAGTTTTTTAAACTTTTAATTAAATTCAACGTGAGACTTCAATGAATAAAGGTCGCCGGAGATTGATTGTGTCAGAATGAGAAAAACATTTTTGATGGGAATTCAATTTTAGGGCAATCTATCTCAAAGTGATCTACTCGAAGCGACAAAGCACCAGATCTGATCGGGGATGAACTAGTATATGTACATAAAACATTGTGGACCTTAAGATGCCTGCCTTACAGCTCAGCTCCTCTCTCAATTGTCCACTAAATAATTCTATCATCGAAAGAGCAGTCTACAAAAGGAAAGAGAGAGAGAGAGAGAGAGAGAGAGCAAGAAGTTTGAAACAAAACCTGAATTACCGCAAGAGAGCGTTGAGTACAATGCCACTCAATTTGAGTGGACTTTTTGGCAAAACGTAATTGAATTTCATGCGCAGGAGCATGTCAAAGAGAGAAAAGACTGAAGGAGTGGGGAGAGAGAATGAGAGAAAGTTAATTTAAAGCTTGTGCTTGGCTAATTGTCTACTCCGTAGGGAAATTTGAATCAAACGCTTGTCTTGATAAGGACTTATCATATTTGTCGAAATTAATGTAATACATGTAAATACTTTTAAGTTTCTTAAGTTTATGCGATGATTGAGCACATTGATGCATCGCATCGCGAGGCCAAGACAAAACTCTTCATAGTGAAAATAGAAACATCTGCGAAATTAGAAGATAAATTTTGAATATTCCTTGTGCCCTAAAAAATGTCCTCGCTTATCCCAAAAAGTCATTGACTTTGTTTTTTTTTTGCTACAGTTTACATCTGTAGTAAAAAATTATATATTTTGACTATATTATGTATACGACACGTATTAGTTGGGATTTGAATTTACACTTCAATGCTTAGGTATATAAAAGTATTTATAATCTATAAATCATAATTAAATATTTTATAATTAGTCTCCTTACAAGGGGAAATCTTCAAAATTCCCAAATATTAAATTCCCTATAATTTTATATCTTTTATTGCCTTGTTGGGAATTTTTCGGGAACCACATTCACTTTCAACACTTTTTTATAATCCCTAAAACATAAGTGACAAATTCAGTTTTCAAATGGTTTTTTCGTTTATTATGTAATATAAATAAATAATTTAAATATTCGTAAATGGCAAATTGACATAATTAACCGAAGATATGGGTTAGACCCAGTCCACCGCCAAAGTTGGACTGTCCGCTCATTGGTCCGCTAGTCCACTTGGAGGCAGTACCGGTCAGATCTAGGCGAGTATTACGATCCTGGGATGACCACAAGTTGGCCCGTCCATCCAGACCCAATTGCTTGCCAATGCCGGGAATGTTGCTGTGCGTCAAGCTGGCGCCGTGCCCATTGATGTGCGAGTAATCCAGGCCAGCGCCATTCCGCTGGAACTCAAAGCCGTTGGCTAGCTTGTTCTGAGAGGCAAACACCTTGGCGTCCAGGTTGTGCTTGCCATTGTTGAAAAGATTGGCATGTGCCGACTGCTGGAAGCTGTCCTGTACGCCAGGGGTGTGGGTCTTGGTCAGGTCAAATCCATGTCCATGACTGAGGGAAAGCAAATCCATCAGTTAACACTTCACTAGGAAAGAGGGTTCCATTAACTTACTTGTTGTAGGCGACCGATCCTCCAGTGGTAATGGGTCCTTTTTGTGTGTTGCCTGCGGCGAACACTTGTCCAATGACATTGTGATCGGGAGTGCCAATGCCTTTGCTGAGCGCCAGGCGAGCGTCAGAGCCACCTGCCGGATTAGATGTCAGTGAACCGCCCAGGACCTGCCGGCGCACTCGAATGGGACGCGGTTGCGGTGTTGGTCTTGGATAATAGGGTAGCGTCTGGAAGCGCTGAGGCATGGCCTCGACGCAGGCACCAATGGCAACAACTGCCAGGATGAAAATGCTGCTGCTTTGCATGTTGCCTTGAGGGATTATTCCTGATTACTGATGATGGCTGTGGGCACAGCTGGCGCTTATAAACACTATGCGAGGCTAGCTGATTGTGATTCACCCGCGCTGACATCGCTCTCTGTTGTCTTGTCTGTCTTATCAGCAGACTCTCAAGTAAATCCCCGCGCGTGGCTTGAGCCAAACAAATTGATTGCTTGCCTCCACTTGTTGCGCTCACTGTGCGGTGGTTTTTTAAGCTTTAAGCTGCAGCTGGACGGAAGGAGACTCGATTGGAACATATGTATAAGACCTGCGGCTCTTTTTAGGGGATTTACTAGAAGTTTCTTTCAATCTGCACTCAAAAAAAGCCTTTCAAACTTGCTTTTGTAAAAGTTTAACAAACATTTGTTGCCTGCAATAAAATGTTCGTCCGATCAATTCCATGACTTACCTACATACCACGATATACACAGCTATCCCAGCTTATATCTTAACATGAACATACACACATACACATTTACATCACACAGTTGAAGAAGCTCTTTAAACTCCACTCTTCACTCCCCTCAAAATAATTGCAGAGAGACAAAGAGCTAGACCCAAAAACTTGAATGACCACAAGAGAGCGTTGAGTAAAATGCCGCTCGATTTGAGTCGAGTTCTTGGCAAAAACTAATTGAATTTTTTGCGCAGGAGCAGTCACAGACTGTGAGTCGAATGCAAAGAGAAAAGGAGAGCGAGAGCAGCAAGAGAGAGAGCGAAGCAAAACTCGCAACTTAAAGCTTACACTGAGCTAATTATCTTCGCAGCAAGTGAGTCTGTATAATTTAAAGTAAAATGATTGTATATATTAATAATTGTTATAGATTTAAATAATTGTTAACGTTTCTTCTATCGTACAAGCCCACAGATTAAACATATAGGGTATATTCATACGTATAGGGTATACAGCTTTATCAGCACAAGTCGTTTTGCCACAAAAACCAGCTCGTGACGTAGAAGAAAACATCAAATAAATCTTAATTTGCGATGCCATCAAACAAACATTTTTTGTGGGGAATTTCTGGTTTTTCAAGAAATCGAATAAATGACAAATTGCGTAGCAAAAGATTTACATGCGGTTTGTGAGTAGAGTATATTATATTACGTATATTCTTAAGTGACTCTTATCAATTGTTAGCTCGGCATCTATTTCAGAATGACAAACGAGATAATTTTTGTGCTTTTTTTTTTGCTGAGCTAAAAATATAAACAATTTACACGCATATTTTTGGCTTCGCTAAAAGTTTGGCCTGTCCAGGCTTGGAATAATTACAATATATATAAAGTTGCATTTGGTTTTATGAACATTTTTTCTAAAATCATATATATAATAATTAATACTATACTTTTCAATTTATTTATAATTTATTTTAACTTAACTATGACTTGATTTTCATATTTTTTTAAAAACAATTTGAAAAGTCGTCATATAAAGCCTCTAATATGGCGTCAAGCTGTCAGCTTTCGATTTCTCTCTTGGGCGAATCTTACATTAAGAATCATCTAGCTGCTTATACTTAAAGCTATACTCTAGTTTTCTAATAACAGCTTCATTTATTAATTGTAATTGACGTATTCCGGTGTAAAATAATTAAATCAAGTTAAAATTGACTTGCTTTCCGACTTGTTTTTCGTACAAGTTGGAAAGGCGTCAAATGAAGCTTTAATATGATTTAAGTACCAGAAATGATTGGCGCCAAGCTGTCAGCTTTTGAATTCTCTCTTGGGTGGCGGGCCCTCTCTTGTTATGTGGTCTGTTGGCGGTGTCAAATCTCATTAAGTTTAGCACATGAAGCGCGCTTGAGCGAGCTTTTCCGTTTTCCGCTTTTCCTCGTTCTTGAGCGTTTTTTGGCTCTTGAAAAATTGTGTGCGCTGGATAAATTGTCAAATGCGCGTATAGAGGCAAGACGCGACTTGTCTGTGGAAAAACTTTGCTTATCGATTACGCACGTAACACTTGCCTTCAGCTATTGCCGTGAAAATTCCAAATAAATGTGCTAACAATATTGGTGTGTAAACAGTTCTAGAAAACCAACGTCAAGCAATCCTTATAGAAAATCTGATATACTTTTGGGTGGATGTGCTTTGTGCTGTACAAGTTTTCGTTGATGTCTTTCAAATGTTGGCCTTCAAAATGGTGCACAAGTTATCCGTGTATATAGACCACATATGTATATACACACACATACACATACACATGCACATATATATGCATGCTTAGGACTATACAGAGCAGCTCTGCCAAGTGGATTATTTATTAAAAGTGCTTGTCATTAAAATTGTTGTGTAATTCAAGGACTACTTTTTTCTTCCACGTATTTTATTATTTCTACTATATATATATAGTAGTATATACATTCAGGTTCCAACATATGTTTAGGCCAAAACAGTTGTGAAATCATATACATTTTTGCATTAACTTTTTTTAAATCGACTTTGCACATGCTCCCTTAAAATTTAAGCAGATATTTTATTTGAAAGAATAAAAAAAAACAACACAAGTCTGCTCTATATACATGCATACGTGTATACACACACATACACAAGCACGCATACATATGTGGCTACCATGGTAGACAAACCCACTTACCTACATTTAGAACGTGCCAACTGTGCGTATGTGTGATAAAAAGAAAAAAAGCTGCAAGGCACAAAACTCACCGAAATTCACTCATTCGCTCAGTTGAACACGACGCGACGCGACGCGACGCTCAAAGCTCAAAGCTAATGCAACTAACTCACACAAGCAATGCTGAGCGCCCTCTGGCGCCCTCTCCCTGCAGCATTCAACAGCTCACCCGCTCAATCAGTTTCTTATTGTGTCATTCGCTTTGTCATTTATTATGAAATGCGGGTTTTCAATGTTAAGCTGGACAGTTGTAGGAAATGCATCATCAGCCTGCCTGTCAGATAGGGAATCATGCATGCACCTCCTTTGATATATCTTAGACAGTGACTGTCAATCCTGTGCTCTGGTCATTAGCTGGGGTTTCGTCTTATTCAATTTTGGGTTAATCATGGTTAGGTTGGCAACAGGTGAAAAGTCTAAACATGTGATAGGTAAGCGATTAATTGATGCCGCTTTTCTCAGAGCCCAAAAGCGGAAAAAAGGCAGCACTTAGTTAAGGTATTTGCTTATAGAGATCGGAGGATCCAAAAGAAATTAAGCTCCATTGGAAGGGAATGTAATTAGAACTGGTTCATTAATGTTCCGCTAATGGTTCATTATTAGTTCAAATTGTTCATAGCCGATATGCAGCCTTGTTGCATACAGAGTATTATATTCGGAAGTATTTACTTGGTTGAATGAGCGATATTTATAAATGTTCTTTGATCCTAAATCGAGCATAATTGCTGCCGGGCGCGCCCAGCTACACGCCCCCCACACAGGCGGCGAGCATTTACAAAGCGTTTGGCACTAATTGGCCCTTTGTCTTCGTAAACAGCTGCTAAAGGAAAATAACAAGGATGATGCTGTAGTCGTGAAGCGCAGCAACGCACAAAAGCACAGTTGAAACAAAAGAGCTGCAGGGCAGGAAGTGTCAGGAAACAGGAAGCGGGCATAATAGCACACAGACACTGTCAGGGTTGAGTGCGCCTACAAATGAATCCCTATAATGCTGCGGTCGGTGGTGGTGGAGCGGCCAATCCGTTTGGTACGCCCGGCTACGTTCAGCCCCAGCAGTCGAGCATGGGCTATGGCTACGAGGAGCAGCCAACGGCTGGCTATGATCAGGGCGGAGGAGCGGGCATCGGCTTTGGACAGCAGCAGGCCCCTGGCTATGGACCACCGGGCGCCAGGCCGCGTGTCGACGTTGAGGCCAGCGGCGAAGTGGATCCCAACTTGTAAGTAGCTCGCAGTTATTGCTGTCAACCGGAGATGACGTTTGCTTTGCAGATATCCGGAGGCAAAGGATTCAACGCACAAAGTGCGCGGCGCTTCGGGAGTCTTGGAAATGTTCTTTGGCGGCACGGAGCAGGAGCTGATACCGGTGAAGAGCTTTTACTTCTTCTTCTATGCGGCGTTCGGCTCGCTGTTCCCGCTGATGGGCGTCTATTTCAAGCAGATGGGCATGAATCCCGGCCAGTGCGGCATACTGGTTGGCATGCGGCCCTTCGTCGAGTTCCTCTCGGCACCATTCTGGGGCTCCTATGCGGATCGCTGTCGGCAGGGCAAAAAACTGCTGCTCGCCTCGCTCGCCTGCTGGGTGCTCTTCACCATACCGTTGAGCTTCATACGCCCAGAGGCCGTCAACTGCATTGAGCGACGCAATGCCACCGACTTTGTGCTCACCTATACGCGCTCCAAGCGGGACACCTCAGCCATGTACGAGCCGACTAGCCAGCTGGAGCACGAGCAGGCCGACTACGATGACGATATGCTGGCTGAAGAGGCCATCGAGCAGTCGGATTCGGAGTCGCGGCACAGCAGACACAAGAGATCGCTTCTGCTGCCACGCATCGATGCGGGCATTTCGCCGGTGCACATCAACTTCGTGAGCAACTACGATGACAAGCACCATCGGGATTATGTGACGCCCATCTTCAGCTCCATGGTGTACCGCACGCCAGTAAGTATTCGAGTTGAGAGCATGTTAGGAGCCCGCTGAGTGGCACTTTATGTTGTTCGTATTGCAGGACATTCAGAAGGCATTCTTTCTGCTGCTGTTGGTCATCCTGATTGGTGAGTTCTTTAGTGCTCCGGCCATAACATTGGCCGACTCGGCGGTCATAACGCTGCTCGGCGAGGATGCGGATAAGTATGGACATCAGCGCATGTTCGGCTCGCTTGGCTGGGGAATTTCAATGTTTTTGGTGGGCATCGCCCTGGATCACTCCACCTCGTTCTCGAATCATCCGTGCGGCGCCGGCAACAAGGAGAAGAACTATAATATTTGCTTTTCAATTTTCTCGGTGCTGATGACCTGCGCCATTATCTCGGCCTCAAAGATCACCTTCAAGTACGAGCCCATCGATGAGAGCCAGCAGCAGGCTTCCGCCCAGTTCGTGGATCCCAACAAAAAGGCCGAGGAGGAGTCGATGAACCAGCTAGCCGCCCAGCTCAATTTACCATCACTGGCAGTGGGTAGCGGCAGCGCCGCTTCAGGTGCCTGCGCTGGCGGCGTCAGCAGCTTCAGTGCTGCCGGCCATCAGCCGCAGCCGCACATTGGGGCCGAGTCCAAGGTGTTTGCACAGACGGCCAAGGAGCTGCCCGAGTGGGTGACAGTGCTAACACATTTCAAGGATCTGAAGACCGCCTCGTTTCTGTTTGTCGCCTGGTTTATGGGCTTCGGCATTGGCCTGATCTTCACTTTTCTGTTCTGGCATTTGCAAGACTATGGCGGCACGCCCACGCTTTTCGGCGTCGCCTCCGTCATCAATCACGTGTCCGAGATCTTTGCCTACTTCTTCAGCTTTCGCCTGATCACTCAGATTGGGCATGTCAAGGTGCTCTGCCTGGGCCTGATCGGCAATGTATTGCGCTTTCTGTACATCTCGTATCTGACCAATCCATGGATGGTGTTGCCCTTCGAACTGATGCAGGGCATCACACACGCCGCCGTTTGGGCCGCCTCGTGCTCCTACATTGCCCACAACACGCCCAAGCATCTGCGCGCCTCGTCGCAGGGCGTGCTCCAGGGCATCCATCATGGCTTAGGTCGCGGCTGCGGTGCCATCATTGGTGGCATGTTTGTCACCTACTACGGTACTACTGCTACCTTCCGTTGGTATGGTATCGCTTGTCTCTTCGTGCTCGGCCTGTTCATCTTCATCAACTTCTACCGCAAGGAGCAGGGCTTCATATCGGAAATACCCGTCACCGAAGATCCCCATCAGGTAAATTATATCTATACAGGGTAACCATCCTAAGTGAATCTGTAGGAGGTATAGCCTATGTAATTGAATATAGTCAACATAGTTTTTGGGCAAATGCTTAACTGTTTCTTTGATTCACAGGTGGCCGAAGAAACTTCTCATTTGGCTCCACATGGCGTGCCCAGCAATCCCATACCACGGGCTCTGTCCAACACGCGATTGAACGAGATGAATCCCAATGGAGGACCGTATGGCACCTATCAGACCACAGGCGGCAACCTGGACATACCCGGTGCCAGTCCACACAATCCTTTCGCACAGTAAACCCATGTGACTTCCCCCAGTTAACAAACAGTCCTCGCATACAAAAACGACATCATAGAACAAGTAAGAGTGCTCTAGTCGGTAGTGACTGACTAGAAGATACCCTGTACCCAGCATCGAGATGCCGTAGCAAATATACGAGCTTCCTTTTAAATTATTATATGTAAATTCTACTTTTAGCCCCGCACCATGATATATTCATTCTCCAATAACTTCTGTGCTTACAGTCCGATCTTTATAATAATTTTAAACATGGGTATATACCAAAGGCTATACCTTCAAATATCGGCTATTTTATACATTTTGGTAAAGCAGGTATTCTGAACTGTGTATTCTATAGCAGAGCCTATATATTACATTTGTGTATAAGCTCCGTCTATACATATAAATCCGAATATCTATTATAATAGATATCGTGTAAAACAGTGTCAGCTATCAATGATCTCAAATAAAATTGATCAAAGTTCGTCTCCAGTTGCTGAGATCGACGCGTTCATATATATGTATATATATATAATTCAAAAATATATATAATTTATGGGGTCTGCCTGTTACATACGTCTGCACAAAATCATAGGACCCTTGACTGTCGATGGGTATAGGGTATAAAAGGAAATACACACATGCACCACATAGTCATGGACAGCAGCACAGAATGAACAATATATAACCGAAAACATATCTTGGACATTGGCCTGCAATATTAATTGCCAAATACATTGCTTTATTATGGGTTTTGGTGCTTATAAATAACAAATATGCCATATTAACGAATAACACAAACCAAAAGATGAATAAATATATTTTATATTGGAGGTTCATATACATAAAGCAATACATTTGCTTTCATAGCGCTAATTAAACTAATAACAAGTGAATACTATTTATTTATTAACTGTTTACCGTTGCCATTAGTTACAGCTATTTGCATAAGTGTTTATATAGCTTATCTAGATCAAAGTTAGATAAATAACAACATTTTGTTTATTTTATGGAAAGCAATTCAAACGAATTTTGCTTGGCACATTAATTATTGGGCTAATCTAAAATATTCATAAGCATTTTATATATAATTTGCATCGCAATCATATCACATGAAAGCAGAGATATTTAAAGGATCACCAAAGCCACAGCACATAGTCCTAGAGGAACCAATGAAAATGAATGGCACACATCCACAGGAAAAACATAACTAAATGGAAATTACACATAAAGTACCTATAATAGAAAGGAAAAGATAGCAAGCGTAGACAAAAAGATTTACCAAATCAATAAAATGTCAATCTTTAAAAGTAATATGATTTTACAAGACACAACATGGCAGATGATTCAATTTGATGTTTATTTATTTTGTATATTATTTGTTATCATTATTTAGAAAGTTTTAAAAGCTTCAGAAGGATTTATATTATTTTTTTTAATATTTATTGAGATTTTAATAAAATAATTTGAAATCCTGTTAGTTTCTCGTTAACATTGAATTAATTTCTCAGGTTAACATAAAAGCGAATTCTACAAGCAAAGATGTTATGCTACAATATAAATACGTATGTTGTTGGATTGAATAATATATTTGAGCTAAAAAAAAAAAAACTATAAAAAATGAGAAAAGAACTTAAATAAATATAGAAAATCTAGAGAGGAAACAAATGCTGTAACGAATGATATTATGAAAATCCGCCTCATTACAATCAACTGTTGAATATGTTAATTTAACAGATGCTCTTTAGTACTTATGTAAAAGTACATAGCGTATGTGTATACTATACATATTTGTATGTATACGACTATAAATGGCTATTTTGAAATACATGTCTAATGAAAAATAAAATGAAAAAAAAAGAGAGAAGCAAATACGAAAATGGTGTCTAGTTAAATATGCAGGAATGTACCTAAGATATAAATTTTGATTTAACCGGGCTGGTTCTATTTACTTGATATTAATATGTAAACAATTACTCTATATACATATATACACATACCTATACATAACTAAGCAAAAAACTATATTAATTACTTATCGTTAACGGATTCAACTTGTATTAGATATTGTTAATAATATTCAATGGATATGTTTCAAGGACTTTTTCAAATTATTATTATGCCTAGCTCTTATGTACAGCACATTTATGAATCTTTGGGCTATTTATAAACAAATTATTGCATAATTTCAAATAATTATGCACACGTGCACTTAACTTATGTTGATGATGAGCCACAATTTAACCAATGGCTCTATATACCTATATATACACACATACATGCATAAATGTACAAGTATTATACACGAAGCGCATCCCATTAAATGAAATACATGCAACACATACAAATGTACTACATACTACACAAGTAAAAAACAAATGGAATCGCATAAATAAATAAACAAAATTTAAATCAACCAATAAATTCAAGAACTCATGTAATATGTATGTTTAATAAAAGTTTAAACTGAGTGAATAGAAAAAAAAATAGTTTGCATTTTTACGAGGATTACTTATTAAATCTCTTTGATATTTATTAATCATGTTGGCTGATTACAAATTTGGCTTTGCAGTTTAATTTTCATTTATTTCATAACATTTTTTGAATTTAATATCTGTTTCACTTCTATTCTGTAACTTTTTTTACCGACTGATTTAGGTAAATAATAAGAACCAGGTTTTAGTCAAAAGCTGCATCTAATAACATATCTATATCTGACTTTATTGTAGCTAGAATGTACTTTTCGCAGGGAAAACGAACGAAATGGAGCAGAAGCCAATTGAGCTACAAAATACATTGACTTCTTTAAGCTAAACAATTAAGCTGTACTTTTATAAATTTTTCTATAGAGCATTTTTTTACGCTCTTATACTAACCATTTCTGCTTAATTTCTTCATTTCTGATCACATAAGTAATTAAGAATCTTGAAATAGATACAAGTTAAATGTTTGTCATAAAATGTTGCATAGTTTTCAGCGCAATATTGCATGAAAAGAAAGTAGAAATATTGGAACACAACCTCACAGATAATGAAAAAGTCGTGTCACGGGGAAAAGCACGGTTCATTCCCATCTCTAGCTGTAAGCTAATTTTTATTGAGTTCATAAAAAGACATTATTGGTCTAAGGTTAGCTTCAAGTATTTTTAAAGCTGACTTCATAATCATCAAGTAAGGTTGCAAGAAGAGCACAAGAGCACAAGTAAGATTTTTGACAGAGAGTTAAGAATAGTAGCTACATTCTTCTTTTATTAGGTTTGAACTTAAAAAATATTAATTAAACTATGTTCCATCTGTGTCCGTTTTGGGCTTCTTGGCCGCCGGTGCTGTATCGGAGGCGGGTAGCTTCTCGGAGAATATGGCCTTCGGCTGAGTTTGCTTGTAGGCGGGCGCAATCCAATATGGATTCTCAGCCGCATCTTTGGCATACTTAAGTATGGCCTCTCGTGGATCTTGATCATCGTCGACGCGTTTGCTCAGGCCAAGATTACGTATGACATAGGAGGAGAGAGTGCCGCCAGAGCTGGCAACGCGTCCGCCCTGGCCGCTGGTAATTGGCAGATCCGGTCGCTTGGACTTGACCGGATCCATGCGTGCTTTTTCCATCCTTTTGCGCGAAGAACGCGTCTTCTCCTGCCGGAACAGTGGCAGAGCATGTGGAGTTATGATCTGGGATACGCCCACCATTTCCATCTGTTGCCTCTTGCGATGGATCTTCACCACGCACAGCTTGGCGCCGCGTATGCTGCGCTGTTCATCGTAGAAGCATTTAATGATCCCATTGCCGCAGCTGACAAAAAGTTGGTTCAACTTCGGATGCCACAACGTCTTGATGACATGCGACTCAGCTACGGGTATGCGCTGCACCTGCTCGAAGCTTTGCGTGCTGTAAAAATAAAGATGGGCCTCTTTTTGGCCCTTGGGCAGCGACTCGCCGGTGACCAGCATGCGATCATCCGGGCTAAAGCAGCAGTCGGTTGTGTCGTAACGTGAATAAAGATTCGACCATGTGTGCAGCGGGTCCTTGAAATTCCTTAGGTCCCAGAGCTTCATGGTCTCGTCATTAGAGCGCGTGGCTAGCTGCTGGCCCATGTATGAGAACACAATGGATGTAATCTCCGAACCCTTTTGGTGTGCCGTTCGCACGCAGTGTGTGGTATTCACAAACATCTTTCGCGTATCCCATGTCTGTATGGAGCCATCCACGCAGCCGGCGGCAATTAGTGTCGCATCCCGATTGTAGTTACAGGCGGAGGCATTGGTTCTCAGGCCGCCCTGAGCTCGTGTCTTGATCACCTGCAGCTGCTCCTTGGCTCGTAGTCCCTGCCAGATGCGCAGTGTGCCGTCTAGCGCTGCGGTCAGGAATTGTTCCCTGTTAAATGGATGCCAGCAGCCAGATGTGAGTTGCGCAACGTGGCCCTTGGTACGCGTCATATCGCTTATGTATTGATCCCCCTTGCAGCATTCCAGTTTCTCGAAGCCGTCTCGATCCAGCACCTTGGCCTGGGCGTTGCCCGAGATAACCAGGATCATGTCGCCTGTAACGGAATATTGAAGGCCGCGTATGGGATGATTTTCACACGGCTGCAACTGACGAAAGCTGCGCATAGCTGAGTCCATGCCGGCAAAGTCCCAAAAGCACATATCGTAATCTATGGAGCCCGACACAATTCGAGCGCCGGATGGATCTCCAGCAAGGGCTAAGACTGCCCGTGATCCGTGCTGCATTTGCACTTCGTGCGTGTAGGGTATACGGCGAGATAATGTTTCCTCATCCTCATCGGAATCATCCTCGTTTTCATCTTCATCATCTTCCTGGTCCTCTTTGTCGTTGGTTTCCTTCTTGGTGCTTGGATCAGGCTGCTGCTGGTTTCCCGTGTCCGCAGCTGGCGGCAAAGGGCCTATAACATCCTCGTCTTCCTCCTGCGCCTCTTGTTCCTGGACAGGTGGAGCAAACGTGCGCGCCTTAGCGATCTGCTCACTGATGTCAAAAACCTTGGCGGCCTTGCGGCCAAACCCGCTTATACCCATCACATCTTTAAGGTGTTGGCTTTCCAGGTCCTCAGCTACATCCTCAATTTGACGTATCATCTGTTGCTTGTCCATTTTCTTGAAGCCACCGGCATCTTGGGCAGGTTCATTGGACTCAGCAGGCGTCTTGCCAACATTCAGCTGTATTTTGCCAAACGAAATCTTTCCGCGCTGCATTCTACGGATAGATTATCTCTACGCGGCTTAGAAAATTTAATTCGTGTTTATTGTTTTTACTCGCGCTAAGGTTGGGATTTTGTTTAGCTATTCTCAGCTATCGATATATCGATACTTGAATACATATCGATATTTGTAATACTGCGACTGGTTTTTCAATTGAGACTAATAATGACTGCTGCGGTAGTAATTATAAATTAAATGAAAATGCACAATTACTTTATGTTGATATTAGGTCAATTCGAATTGTAAATTAGACTATTATAAGGACTATACAGCATGTTTATTTACTATACGAAGGGGAGTACAATATTTATATGTGTATTAAAAGCTTTTCAAAATTAAGAATGACATCAAAAAGAAATTTTTTCAAGTACATTGAACATAATGGATAAAGAAATATGGACACACACATATATTTGTTTTCGATTTTCCATTTACAGCTGTAAGCCGATACATTAAAATACTCGTGACAAGTAGCAACTCTATGAAAGAAATCTCCGCTCTAGCATCTAACCTAAAATTAGGCGCGCAGTCGGCTCTTGGCGTTTCTCTCGTGTAGAATTTTTTGCGTCTTTTTAGTTTTATAAATTACGCAGAGTGGTGTAATTGACAGTTTATTGGTTTATTATTTAGTGCAGGGCACATTGAAAATGGTGGACGCTTTGGAGTACAATGACATAAACGCCGAAGTGCGCGGCGTTTTGGTGAGTCTGATTCACAAATTGCCAGCAACATTTGTCTGACATCTGTTTTCCCTTCCCCTGTCAACTCCTTTGCTACCTAATGCAATATTAATTAATGGATTTATTGGCCTTAGTCGTCTGGACGCCTGAAGCTCACCGAACAGAACATAATCTTCAAGAACAACAAGACGGGCAAGGTGGAGCAGATTGCCGCCGAGGATATTGATCTCATCAATTCCCAAAAGTTCGTGGGTACCTGGGGTCTACGCATCTTTACCAAGAGCGGAGCGCTGCATCGGTTTAGTGGATTTCGCGACAGCGAACATGAAAAGCTGGGCAAGTACATCAAAGAGGCCTATTCGCAGGAAATGGTGGAGAAGGAAATGTGCGTCAAGGGCTGGAACTGGGGCACAGCACGCTTCATGGGCTCTGTGCTCAGCTTCGACAAGGATACAAAGACCATTTTTGAGGTTCCCTTATCGCATGTCTCTCAATGCGTTACGGGCAAGAACGAGGTGACCCTGGAGTTCCATCAGAACGATGATGCGCCCGTGGGCTTGCTGGAAATGCGCTTTCATATACCAGCTGTCGAGTCGGCGGATGAGGATCCAGTCGAAAAATTCCATCAGAACGTTATGAACAAGGCGTCGGTCATATCGGCATCTGGCGAGTCCATTGCTATATTCCGCGAAATACACATTCTGACGCCGCGTGGTCGATACGATATCAAAATCTTCTCGACCTTTTTCCAACTGCACGGCAAGACATTCGACTACAAAATACCCATGGACTCGGTGTTGCGCTTGTTCATGCTCCCGCATAAGGATAGCCGTCAAATGTTTTTTGTGCTCTCGCTGGATCCGCCCATAAAGCAGGGTCAGACGCGGTATCACTACCTAGTGCTGTTGTTTGCCCCCGATGAGGAGACCACCATTGAGCTGCCATTCAGCGAGGCGGAGTTGCGCGACAAGTATGAGGGCAAGCTGGAGAAGGAGCTGTCTGGGCCCGTTTATGAGGTCATGGGCAAGGTGATGAAGGTTTTGATTGGACGCAAGATAACAGGCCCGGGCAATTTTATTGGCCATTCTGGCACAGCTGCAGTTGGTTGTTCGTTTAAGGCAGCCGCCGGCTATTTGTATCCGCTGGAGCGCGGGTTTATCTACATTCACAAGCCACCACTGCACATACGCTTCGAAGAGATCAGTTCAGTGAACTTTGCCCGCAGCGGCGGCTCAACGCGCTCCTTTGATTTTGAGGTGACGCTTAAGAATGGCACTGTGCACATTTTCTCGTCCATCGAGAAGGAGGAGTACGCCAAGCTGTTTGACTTTATCACACAGAAGAAGTTGCATGTGAGCAACATGGGCAAGGACAAGACCGGCTACAAGGATGTCGACTTTGGTGACTCAGACAATGAAAACGAGCCGGACGCCTATCTGGCACGACTCAAGGCGGAGGCGCGTGAGAAGGAGGAGGATGACGATGACGGTGACGATTCCGACGAGGAGTCCACCGATGAGGACTTTAAGCCCAATGAAAACGAATCCGATGTGGCCGAGGAGTACGATAGCAACGTGCAGAGCGACTCAGATGAAGATAGCGATGCTAGTGGAGGTGGTGGCGGAGGCGACAGCGATGCAACGTCCAAAAAGAAGCACAAGGAGAAGAAGCACGAAAAGAAGGAGAAGAAACACAAGGAAAAGGAGCGTACAGTAAGCAAATTTTTAAATCGTATTTAACTTAAGTCTAACTAATTCTTGTGCCCTTTAGAAAAAGAACACCAAGAAGAAGGATAGCAACAAGCCGAAGCGTGCCACAACAGCTTTTATGTTGTGGCTAAACGATACGCGTGAGCAAATTAAGCGCGATAATCCGGGCATTAAGGTGACAGAAATAGCTAAGAAGGGCGGTGAGATGTGGAAGGAGCTTAAGGATAAATCCAAGTGGGAGGAGATAGCTGCCAAGGACAGGCAACGCTACCAGGATGAGATGCGCAATTACAAACCAGGCGCCGGCGCCGGCAGCGACGATGAGGAGAGCCCCAGCAGCAAACCGGTTAAGAAACGCACCTCGGAGCCCTCACCCACGAAAAAGGCAAATACCTCGGGCAGTGGTTTTAAGAGCAAGGAATACATATCCGAAGATGATTCCACCAGCTCCGAGGAGGCCAATAAGACTAACAGTGAGCCAGCCAAAAAGAAGAGCAAAACAGTTGAGCCAACGTCCAACAAGAAGGCCAAACAAAGCGAAAGCGAAGCGGAGGCCACGGAGGAGGAGACCAACGAAAGTAATGATGATGAGGATGATGCCAGCGATTAGATAAAAACATTTCCATGAACACACCACACACACACCACACACACACACCCACACACAGCTAAACATGCTCTTAACTCTAAGATAACTGTTATAAACAGACCAGCAAAAGGCTTGGTCTAAAATTTGTCTTTTCATTAAACACCCAAATTTCCATATAATTGCTAAATAATTGCGACGATACAGCCAATTGCTGATCAATTTATTTTTTTTATCAGCAATGAACAACAAATATTTTGAAGTACAAATAATTGGCCAAAAGTCTGTTGGCCAGCTTGCACGCGTTTTGTTTTGTGCTCAACCACGTCTAAAATAAACTCGAAAAGACAGCGAATTTTGTATTTAATAATAGAGAATCTGTAATGGCACTGCTCTGGCTCATGGTGCACCTGGCACTGCTCGGGAATGTGCAGGCAAGTGCAAGAGTTATCCATCGTTATCCATAGTGGTCCATTAATGTGCGCCCTTCTCAGATCAGCGGGTTGGCCAAGTTCACAAATGTGCAGTGCGTCAGCCAGGACGCGAACTTCACCCTGTTTACCGTCTGTCGCCTGCATGCGGTTAAGCGCGACGTGGCTGAAATGAGTTTGCGAGTAAAGATCATTCAATTTCCCAAAATCCCAGTTGCGGTGAGTTTCCAATACACGCTTGACTTGAGCAATCGATTCATCATATAATTGTCAAACCAACATTTGAAAGCGATTAACCTACAGCAAATATTTATACACGAAATTCACGTGGATTTATCACAAAGTATATAAGTTCTTTATCAGGACCCCATAACTCGGTCAAATCTCATCAGATTTTCACGAAGTTTGGCTTTTTCTTCATGGTTTTCCCTCTAGATTAATCTGGCATTCAAATCTGAACACCGATTTTTTAGTCGAAATTCATGTCCAAATCTTACCCCAAGATTCGTATATAGACATGGGTCAAAATTTACCACCCCCATATCTCGGCCAAATCTCATCCGATTTTCACGTAGTTTGGCTTTTTCTTCATGGGTTTCCCTCTAGATTAATCTGGCATTCAAATCTGAACACCGATTTTTTAGTCGAAATGCATGTCCAAATCTTACCCCAAGATTCGTATATAGACATGGGTCAAAATTTACCACCCCCATATCTCGGCCAAATCTCATCCGATTTGCACGAAGCTTGGCTTTTTCTTCATGGTTTTCCCTCTAGTTTAATCTGGCATTCAAATCTGAACACCGATTTTTTAGTCGAAATTCATGTCCAAATCCTACCCCAAGATTCGTATATAGACATGGGTCAAAATTTACCACCCCCATATCTCGGCCAAATTTCATCCGATTTTCACGAAGTTTGGCTTTTTCTTCATGGTTTTCCCTCTAGATTAATCTGGCATTCAAATCTGAACACCGATTTTTTAGTCGAAATTCATGTCCAAATCTTACCCCAAGATTCGTATATAGACATGGGTCAAAATTTACCACCCCCATATCTCGGCGAAATCTCATCCGATTTTCACGAAGTTTGGTTTTTTCTTCATGGTTTTCCCTCTAGATTAATCTGGCATTCAACTCTGAACACCGATTTTTTAGTCGAAATTCATGTCCAAATCTTACCCCAAGATTCGTATATAGACATGGGTCAAAATTTACCACCCCCATATCTCGGCCAAATCTCATCCGATTTTCACGAAGTTTGGCTTTTTCTTCATGGTTTTCCCTCTAGATTAATCTGGCATTCAAATCTGAACACCGATTTTTTAGTCGAAATTCATGTCCAAATCTTACCCCAAGATTCGTATATAGACATGGGTCAAAATTTACCACCCCCATATCTCGGCCAAATCTCATCCGATTTTCACGAAGTTTGGTTTTTTCTGCATGGTTTTCCCTCTAGATTAATCTGGCATTCAAATCTGAACACCGATTTTTTAGTCGAAATTCATGTCCAAATCTTACCCCAAGATTCGTATATAGACATGGGTCAAAATTTACCACCCCCATATCTCGGCCAAATCTCATCCGATTTTCACGAAGTTTGGCTTTTTCTTCATGGTTTTCCCTCTAGATTAATCTGGCATTCAAATCTGAACACCGATTTTTTAGTCGAAATTCATGTCCAAATCTTACCCCAAGATTCGTATATAGACATGGGTTAAAATTTACCACCCCCATATCTCGGCCAAATTTCATCCGATTTTCACGAAGTTTGGCTTTTTCTTCATGGTTTTCCCTCTAGATTAATCTGGCATTCAAATCTGAACACCGATTTTTTAGTCGAAATTCATGTCCAAATCTTACCCCAAGATTCGTATATAGACATGGGTCAAAATTTACCACCCCCATATCTCGGCGAAATCTCATCCGATTTTCACGAAGTTTGGTTTTTTCTTCATGGTTTTCCCTCTAGATTAATCTGGCATTCAAATCTGAACACCGATTTTATAGTCGAAATTCATGTCCAAATCTTACCCCAAGATTCGTATATAGACATGGGTCAAAATTTACCACCCCCATATCTCGGCCAAATCTCATCCGATTTTCACGAAGTTTGGCTTTTTCTTCATGGTTTTCCCTCTAGATTAATCTGGCATTCAAATCTGAACACCGATTTTTTTGTCGAAATTCATGTCCAAATCTTACCCCAAGATTCGTATATAGACATGGGTCAAAATTTACCACCCCCATATCTCGGCCAAATCTCATCCGATTTTCACGAAGTTTGGCCTTTTTTTCATGGTTTTCCCTCTAGATTAATCTGGCATTCAAATCTGAACACCGATTTTTTAGTCGAAATTCATGTCCAAATCTTACCCCAAGATTCGTATATAGACATGGGTCAAAATTTATCACCACCATATCTCGGCCAAATCTCATCCGATTTGCACGAAGTTTGGCTTTTTCTTCATGGTTTTCCCTCTAGTTTAATCTGGCATTCAAATCTGAACACCGATTTTTTAGTCGAAATTCATGTCCAAATCCTACCCCAAGATTCGTATATAGACATGTGTCAAAATTTACCACCCCCATATCTCGGCGAAATCTCATCCGATTTTCACGAAGTTTGGTTTTTTCTTCATGGTTTTCCCTCTAGATTAATCTGGCATTCAAATCTGAACACCGATTTTTTAGTCGAAATTCATGTCCAAATCTTACCCCAAGATTCGTATAGACATGGGTCAAAATTTACCACCCCCATATCTCGGCCAAATCTCATCCGATTTTCACGAAGTTTGGCTTTTTCTTCATGGTTTTCCCTCTAGATTAATCTGGCATTCAAATCTGAACACCGATTTTTTAGTCGAAATTCATGTCCAAATCCTACCCCAAGATTCGTATATAGACATGTGTCAAAATTTACCACCCCCATATCTCGGCCAAATTTCATCCGATTTTCACGAAGTTTGGCTTTTTCTTCATGGTTTTCCCTCTAGATTAATCTGGCATTCAAATCTGAACACCGATTTTTTAGTCGAAATGCATGTCCAAATCTTACCCCAAGATTCGTATATAGACATGGGTCAAAATTTACCACCCCCATATCTCGGCCAAATCTCGTCCGATTTTCACGAAGTTTGGCTTTTTCTTCATGGTTTTCTCTCTAGATTAATTTGGCATTCAAATCTGAACACCGATTTTTTAGTCGAAATTCATGTCCAAATCTTACCCCAAGATTCGTATATAGACATGGGTCAAAATTTACCACCCCCATATCTCGGCCAAATCTCATCCGATTTTCACGAAGTTTGGTTTTTTCTGCATGGTTTTCCCTCTAGATTAATCTGGCATTCAAATCTGAACACCGATTTTTTAGTCGAAATTCATGTCCAAATCTTACCCCAAGATTCGTATATAGACATGGGTCAAAATTTACCACCCCCATATCTCGGCCAAATCTCATCCGATTTTCACGAAGTTTGGCTTTTTCTTCATGGTTTTCCCTCTAGATTAATCTGGCATTCAAATCTGAACACCGATTTTTTAGTCGAAATTCATGTCCAAATCTTACCCCAAGATTCGTATATAGACATGGGTCAAAATTTACCACCCCCATATCTCGGCCAAATCTCATCCGATTTTCACGAAGTTTGGCTTTTTCTTCATGGTTTTCCCTCTAGATTAATCTGGCATTCAAATCTGAACACCGATTTTTTAGTCGAAATTCATGTCCAAATCTTACCCCAAGATTCGTATATAGACATGGGTCAAAATTTACCACCCCCATATCTCGGCGAAATCTCATCCGATTTTCACGAAGTTTGGTTTTTTCTTCATGGTTTTCCCTCTAGATTAATCTGGCATTCAAATCTGAACACCGATTTTTTAGTCGAAATTCATGTCCAAATCTTACCCCAAGATTCGTATATAGACATGGGTCAAAATTTACCACCCCCATATCTCGGCCAAATCTCATCCGATTTTCACGAAGCTTGGCTTTTTCTTCATGGTTTTCCCTCTAGATTAATCTGGCATTCAAATCTGAGCACCGATTTTTTAGTCGAAATTCATGTCCAAATCTTACCCCAAGATTCGTATATAGACATGGGTCAAAATTTACCACCCCCATATCTCGGCCAAATCTCATCCGATTTTCACGAAGTTTGGCTTTTTCTTCATGGTTTTCCCTCTAGATTAATCTGGCATTCAAATCTGAGCACCGATTTTTTAGTCGAAATTCATGTCCAAATCTTACCCCAAGATTCGTATATAGACATGGGTCAAAATTTACCACCCCCATATCTCGGCCAAATCTCATCCGATTTTCACGAAGTTTGGCTTTTTCTTCATGGTTTTCCCTCTAGATTAATCTGGCATTCAAATCTGAGCACCGATTTTTTAGTCGAAATTCATGTCCAAATCTTACCCCAAGATTCGTATATAGACATGGGTCAAAATTTACCACCCCCATATCTCGGCCAAATCTCATCCGATTTTCACGAAGTTTGGCTTTTTCTTCATGGTTTTCCCTCTAGATTAATCTGGCATTCAAATCTGAACACCGATTTTTACGTCGAAATTCATGTCCAAATCTTACCCCAAGATTCGTATATAGACATGTGTCAAAATTTACCACCCCCATATCTCGGCCAAATCTCATCCGATTTTCACGAAGTTTGGCTTTTTCTTCATGGTTTTCCCTCTAGATTAATCTGGCATTCAAATCTGAACACCGATTTTTTAGTCGAAATTCATGTCCAAATCTTACCCCAAGATTCGTATATAGACATGGGTCAAAATTTACCACCCCCATATCTCGGCGAAATCTCATCCGATTTTCACGAAGTTTGGTTTTTTCTTCATGGTTTTCCCTCTAGATTAATCTGGCATTCAAATCTGAACACCGATTTTTTAGTCGAAATTCATGTCCAAATCTTACCCCAAGATTCGTATATAGACATGGGTCAAAATTTACCACCCCCATATCTCGGCCAAATCTCATCCGATTTTCACGAAGTTTGGCTTTTTCTTCATGGTTTTCCCTCTAGATTAATCTGGCATTCAAATCTGAACACCGATTTTTTAGTCGAAATTCATGTCCAAATCTTACCCCAAGATTCGTATATAGACATGGGTCAAAATTTACCACCCCCATATCTCGGCCAAATCTCATCCGATTTTCACGAAGTTTGGCTTTTTCTTCATGGTTTTCCCTCT